ATTTTCGAAAAATTAGGGTTTTTCAACAACAGCTGTGCAATTCTCTTCAACGTCCTTTAGACTATCCAACAAAAAAAATTAATTAAAATCAATGGCGTAATTTTTTTTAAATGTCCCGGAAGCTTAAAGGACCCTCAAAATTCGGCCAAAGGACCATCAGGCAAATCGATGGGAAAATCTTAATTTTGGTGAAAATCGGCTGGACGATTTAGTCGCTAGCGTTGTCACAGACATGGACAGACGTTCTGCTGTCAATCAATTTTTCGGTAACAAGGAGCCATAAAACATGGATTCTGGATATACCACATGTTATAGGACTTTCCCCCCTAAATGTAGCAACAGGATTTATCCACTTGTTAATTTATCAGGGCCCGGCAAGGAGTTCTCCGTTTTTGCGCGCAGCATTACATAACTTTCTGTATACTACGAAGGTCATTTTTGAAATAAGAACCACGTTTGCGCATAGCAACCGTGCAGGCTGTCACGTGACGCCCGCTCAATGACAGCCACTCTTGCCCAGGCCCCAATTACGCAGTCAGTTGATTTCATGTATCTGCCACTGTTGGTTCTATCGTAACACTGCTTTGTTTGTCGCCATGCTAATCAATCTAATCAAAGCCGCTGATTGTGAAGTGCGCTCGGTTATTCTGTTTTTAAACGCAAAACAAGTTCGTTCCGCCGAAATTCACCGGCAGCTTGTTGAAATTTATGGCGAAGGTCTAAGGAATGACAGTAATGTGACAAATGTTTTCAGTGAAGGAAGAACAAATGTTCATGATGGACATCTGGGCGACCAACTGTCATTGTTAAAGACCTGACAAAAAAAGTTGATGAGGAAATTCGCCAAACCGGCGCTTGACGATTTACTACACTCCAGAGACCTAAACCTCAATCCAGTGAATGGCATCACCCAAATTCACCAACGAAACCACGAAAATTCAAATAAGAACTTTCAACACAGAAAATCATGGCCAGGTCTCTTGGGATCGGAAAGGCGTTCTCCTGATTGCCTTTCTGCCAAGAGGAATGACCATAAATACTGAGAAATTTTGCGAAACACTAACCAAGCTTAGGCACGCTATTCAAAACCACCGACGGGAACCGTCTAGCGGCGGAATTACTAGACCATCTCCCTTACAGCCCTGATCTGGCACCACCAGACTTCCGTGTTTTTCCTAAACTCAAAGAATATCTTGGTGGAAAGCGATTTGAAAATGGCGTGTTGAAAGCAACTTATTAACTGGTTAAATGCTCAGGCGGCAGAGTTCTATGATAAGGGGATCCAAAAGCTATCTAAATACTGTATGAAATATATACATGACTGGTTATTCCTGGTGGCTATTCCAGAAATGGTTTTTCTTTGTTTTATGTATTTTTAGTTACAGTTTGCACTCAAATAAAGAAGTTTTCTGGGTAGGTCTTCCAAAAATGTACCCGATGAATTTAATTATATTTGTGGATGGTAAATAAATTAGTGTTAACATTTCAAGGCATTCACATTTTTAATACAATTAGTAAAAAACATTATTTGCTCTGATTCTGGTTAAAAAGCTTGTGATCAAGACAAAAACTGGGATCTACATGCTTGTTATGTAAGTTGCAATGGGACACTTCTGCACTCAATTACAGAAGCTTGATGCCATGTTATCCCTATAGCATGGTGATATCTAGAGACCGCACTATCAGGCATTTATTTTACCTATAATGAGCATGAAAAAAATACATTTATTCTGGCTAAAGTAGTGGTAAAGACTCAGGAAACATCACCATTTAAAAGTAAATAGTGTAAAAAATAATAATTAAATGATTCACATTTTTATTTTAACTCTAAAATGTTCTTTAGCACTAACTTGGAAAGAAACTACCTCTTTTTTGTAATCTCGATTGCATATGACCATCCGATATGACGTCTATGAATTTATTGTACTCGCGAAGCTGTCTCTACGAAATGCTATTGCGGACTCCGTTTTTGAATCTTGAAATGATATTATGGAAACGGAAACGGGAAAAGTAAATGGTATTATGGAAACGGAAAAGGGGAAATTATGTGGAAACGGAATTATTGATTTCGTTCTTGCACTTGTGTAATCTCCGTAAGGGAAGAGTCAAGAAGGAACAGAGAAGAATATATTATAGTACGTAGACAGCTCTGTCCTCAAGGGGGATCCAAAGTCGTACACAAACATAGAATGAGATTTCTCGTGAGCGAACAAGCCTGTAAGAATCAATATCAAATCATGAAAAATATCGAAAATCTTCCTTTCCCTTTTAGATTTTTAACACAACTGACCTGGAGCGTCCGTGCCCACAGCAAGACACACTACGTGCCTTCATGTTGACAAGGTTTGAAGGTATGTTTCTAGCTTGATAGAGATTGGTGCCAGGAGGGGAAAAAAGAGAATGACGAAAAAGGCAGGACAGGCCACAAATAAAAGATAAAAATGCACAAATAAGACAAAATGTCAAAAATAGGCATCAGAATTTAAAATAGGCAAAACGAAAACCTTCTAAAACAACCCCAGAAGTACAATCAAGTAATTCCCATTACCAAATCGTAACAATAATACAAATGCATTTTACCAAACTTCTGGGTCCTACTGATACCTTACCAATCTTTTTGACGATTGCCAATTCCGACTTACAATCAATAAATGATAAGTATATAATTAAATATCCGATTACCTCAACTCTCAAAAATGTTCTTTATGACAAACCTCCTTGCCGATACCAACTTTCATTGTCCAATAACAACCGTTAAAACTGAAATTTTTTTCATGAAAGAAGTTAATGATATTGCTGAGTAAGGATTTTATGAAAATTATAATTTTCAAGTCGTGACCGTACCTGTGCAGTAGGCCTCAGGCCGCCTAATAGAGGCCTAAGAGCTCCATTTCGTTCTTCAATGCGAATTCATTCATTTGGTGCGAGATCTAGGACTGCCTAATAAATTAATAAATGAATAAAAGACGAATGTCTAAGCTGTATATTGCAGGAGTGGAATGTATTGTAAAACGGAATATGTATTATATCCTCCAGAAATAGAAATTTGCTTTATTCAAGATTTTACTGAACTGAAGATAATTTTTCTACATTAACAAGGATAAATGAGGTTACTACAAATTGAACATGGACCTTCACAGTGACGCCTGATTTATTGGCTGTGATTAAATTGTGACAGATAAAAATGTTTGGGAATACTGCGGACAAAAAAGGTGAACATTTTAAGATTTAATTTGACTTTGTCTACTGGTACGAAGGTTGCCTTTTATGTTTCGGGTTTTGGCAACACTGGTGTCGCAATCTGGCAACTGACAGTTATATCGTAAAGTTGTATGTTTTGAGGTTATACGTACTCAGAACGATTTGACGTACGAGCGTCATTTGTATTGTTTACAGTAACTTAAAAGATTCATCTTGGCCCAAAAATGGAATTAAATCGTGAACATTTTCGTGCGATTATTTTTTACAACTTTCGACGTGGATTAACTCAGCAAAAGTGCATGGATGAACTTAATTCAATTTTTGGCGAAGAAGCTCCATCAAGGACTAGTGTTTATCGATGGTATGGTGAATTCAATCGTGGGCGTAGTTCACTCCAAGACGAATTTCGCGAAGGTCGTCCAAAATCAGTTGTTGGTCCTAAAACCATTGATGCTGTACGTGAACTGGTATTGCAAGATCGTCATGTGACCTATCGTGAGATTGGGACAACCTTAAGCATTAGTGCGACCTCCATACGTTCAATATTGCATGAACATTTGATTGTCAAAAAAAAAAGTTCGCGTTGGATCCCACACAATTTGTCAATCGCTCAAAAAATACGATAGCGGTGCTTCTAAATACGTCTATGTCATCGTGACAGGTGATGAATCGTGGATTTACGCGTATAAGCCCGAAAGTAAACAGCAGTCGACTGTGTGGGTGTTTCAAGATGAGCAAAATCCAACAAAAGTTGTTCTCGCACGAAGCAGTTCCAAACAGATGGTCGCCTGTTTTTTCGAAAAAAACTGGCCATGTCGCAACTGTACCACTAGAACAACGCAGAACAGTCAATTCAGAGTGGTACACAACGATTTGTTTTCCAGCTGTCTTCCAAGAAATCAGGAAAACCAATCGCCGAAGACGGATCACTCTTCGCCACAACAATGCGAGCTCCCACACATCGGCTCAAACAACTGCATTTTTGAGCACCCAAAACATCGATTTAATGAGTCATCCGCCGTATAGTCCTGACTTGGCACCGAATGACTTCTTTTTATTCTGGTACGTAAAAAACAAACTCAACGTTTTTCGACACCTGAAGAAGCGGTTGCTGCATTCAGAATGCATGTTTTGGAGATACCTCAATCAGAGTAGCAAAAGTGCTTCGACAATTGGTTCAAACGCATGCAAAAGTGTATAGATCTTCATGGGAAATATTTTGAAAAACAATAAAGTGATTTTCGATTATTAATATTTGTTTCTGTTCTCTAATCCTGAAATATAAAAGGCAACCCTCGTAAGTAAAGTTTAACTCAAGTATGGAATTTTTATTAGAGCTCAAATTAGAAATATGATTTGTAACACTCTTCTAAAAAGCTTACTGTAAAGGAGTTAGAAGCTTGGAAATAATATGAGGAGGTAATAAAATTATTTTTAGATAAAAAGATGAAAACTACAAAATCTAATAAACGTATACAAGTACATGTCCATCCGCCCGAAACAATGTGAAACGAGACTCGTCACACCATGCAAAGTTTCCAGTCATCAACACTTCGTTGTGGTTGTTAACTGGCCGAGGCGAGGCGTAAAATTAATTTTCTATCGTGGTTGTCACTTATGGTTCTGTTAAAGGTATGTGGTTAAGAAATAATCAACAACTCTTTATGTTTGTTTTGAAGGAGAAGAAACAATCTAAATATCAATTTTTTTAAATATAAATTTTAGTAATTTTAGGAAACACTTGAAACTAAATTCAAAACTGTAAATTAAAATAATTTAAGTTATATAATTTGTTTCAGACAAGCACTGTATACAGATGGTTGAAGCTGGTGTAAGCAAAAAGCTTCTCGCTTTAGTGGAGAAGAATAATAGCCCAGACGGGGATATACGTTTGCAACATGCTCTTCTTAGTGCTATAAGGTAAATCATTTTCCTGGTTTTGAGTTAATAGTCATAGAACATAAGGTATAAAAATGAAACAAACGTGTTTCCAAGATATTACGAGAATTATTATAGCTATGTATAGCCTTAGAATATTAACTTTACTTTTAAAACTAGACAGAGGGTTATAATTCATTCCCAAAGCATGATGCAGCTCTTTTCTTTTCGGTGCACAGAGGTCCAAACTTACCCGCACCAAATTGAAACCACAAGTGGTGATGGCTGCTAACACAAGTGTCACCAAATATTTTAACATTCGTCACGCCAGATCAGGGCTTTCACAATGTTTGCATTTGTTCATGTGTACGTCTTTCATGGAAACTTGGGTAAATACATTTCTCAAGAAGCATCCATTCGCCGTCCATTCTTTTTGTGCTTGAATGCTTTAAAGTGTTCATAAATTATAAGTTGTTTTTTGTAGCGTTTGTGGTAAGAAAATAAAAATCTAACAAAGTTTTACAAAGTGGATAAAACGTGCGATATTCGTGTCGTGATATCAGATTACAGTAGTCAATTGGTTATGGATCTCGTATTGTAATTAGATGGTTTACGACACTAATATATTAATTCTGACAGAAATTCGGATATATATTCTTCTAACTCAGGATTGTCTCAATGTACTTTGTTGTAGCGTTACATGTTGGACTTTTTCAGCAATAAGGGAATGATGTTCTCCATACTTATCTTATCAGATATACATTTTATTTCCAGGTATATTTTATATTCTTCCCATCTTTCACAGGCACAAAATATGTGTTGGGCATCATCAGGTTTTTCGCGGTAAAGGCATGTGAGACAATTATCTTTTCCCATTGTGTGGAGGTATTTCCGGAAGTATCCGTGATCACTGAGAAACTGCGTGAGGTAAAAAACTTCACCTCGCCATGTGGACGGTCTATCCTATAGTTCAGTCGTGAGATCAGTTTTGCGGCCCCTTATCGATGCTGTCTGGTCTCAAAAATGGCCCATAATTTCTTGCCATTTCGGTCTCGAACTGTTCCATGCGGCTTTCTTGGCCTCGTCGGGACCTTGTCCTATTTGTATGTGCAAGATCTGTCACTCTAAAGCTAGTAGGCCTATTGGCGGCGTATTGGCTATTAGAAGAACGGCTGCCTCGGGGACTGTGCGATATGCACTCATAATTATGAGTGCGTCGCCATTTTCTTCTGGTGCGATTCCTTGTTCAGCGCTCCGGCCCATATCTCTGCTCCGTATAGGAGTATTGATAAAGCCACAGACATTAACAAACGCTGTGTGCTTGGTTTGGGGCCGTTGGTGTTCGCTATTAGCCTACTCAGGGCAATCGTGTTGCTTTGCCTCCTGCTTTTCGTAGATGCGACCAAAATTTGAGTTTTGTGAGTCACTCTCAGATACTTGACACTGATGACCCGATATCACAGTCTCCCACTCGTAACTGTTATTTTCGCAAGACTGTATTTTCGTGTTAGCATGACTATTTGGGTCTTGTGTTCTGCGAGTTCCAGGTCATGTTCCGTCATCCACGTCTTGATACGTCTCATTGCCTGGTTCACTTTCCATTTTGCTTCATCTAATGAACGTTCATCTGTGAGCAGATCTACATCGTTGACACAGCCCACTAGTTCAGTATCTGTTGGGATTTCAATTTTTAGTAGGCTGTCGTATGCGATGTCCGCCGCTCAGTGTCTTTTTTCGCTGTCCTCGCTCCTCGTCGTGAATCAAGATGCGGTCCTTCAGGTAATCCTGCATGGCTTTCATCAGATACTCCGGAACTTTGAATTTCGTCTGTAATCCATTGAACATATCGTTCCACCCGGCTGAGTTGAAGGCATTTTCACGTCAAGCAGAACGAGAAGTGCGATACTTCTTGATTGGTAGTTGCCCGTCTGCTCTGAGTTGGATGCTTCGATTACAGTAAATGCTGCATGAATGATGGAGTGTCCTTTTCGGAAGCCATGCTACCCTTGTGACATTCCTCCCGCCGCTTCTATTGCAGTGTGTGTACAAGGCGTGCGGTTTCCCATCAACTGCTGAAAACGGCATGTCTCAGACATTCGTACATATCGAGAATTAGTCTCGGATACCCTTTAACCGCAGCCTTCATTTGCTTTCGCAGGTACTATGTCAGAGCCAGATGCCTTTCCGTTAATCAGCAATTGGTCGGCGGTGGTCCCTCGTCGTAATATACTCTTTCCAGATCATGGAAAAAGGTATCAACTGTCTCCTGTATAGTTGCCAAAAGTGTTTGAGAGGTAGCCGAATTACCATGGTTGTTTTGTTGGGGAGGTAGCCGAAGTTTTTCATAACAGTACTGTTTTCAAGACCCCAAGGGGCGTGGTTCATCCATAGTCGCTCGCCATTTACGAGTCTTGCTGTCTTTGACGGCTTTTTTTAGGCCTCTTCTGTCATTTTGACGGTTAGTGGCAAATGCGTCTCTGCCACTGGCTCTTTGTGTCTTAGTAGGAGACGGTTTCTCCTGAACTTCGCTATTTCGTCGATTCACTAGAAGGATGGTTTCCTTCTGTTTTATGGTTCTTTTTTGGGCATTGCCGCATCGCAAGCCTGTTCTGAGTTGCATTATAAGGGCTGCTCTTTTCTCTGCACTAGACTTCTTTCGCGTTGTCGCCAATTGGCAGCGATTTCGTCCACGCCATCGGTCACAGCATCCACAAAAAAGTCCATGCCAGCTTTGCGTCGTTCCACCGTGCTAACTGCCATGGGGTATGGTACCTGTCAGAATTTTGCTTGAGTAATGGAACTCGATGTATTGATGATCGCTTCCAGAGTATTCCTCGAAAACCTGCCAGTTTTCAATGCGCGTCGCTGTACCTTCAGTGGCAAATGTCGCATCCGCTATCGTTTCCTTTTACCCGGTGCGTCTAAAGGTTGTGTTGCCAGTATTGAGAACAAGTAGACTTAGTCTCGCTGTCATTTCCATTATTCGTCGTCTTGAGTTGGATTGCGGCATTACCCTTTCTTCTGCTCGCGCGTCCAAATCACTCGCAACGACGAGTTCACTATTCATACTTCTGAGCTTATCCTTTAGTTTTTCTAACTTCTACGGGAATTTTTCTGTCTTCGTTCGGAGAGAAGTAGCGCATGATCTCAGCTATTCGCGCCCAAACAAACCCGTCTTCCCCACCATGAGCTTTTATCCTGAGTACTCGTGTCTGGTACCCAAATCGCTTCCGTGCCTGGTGCGTCACTAAACTAGCCAGGAACGTCTCGATTAGTTTACTGTTCACTGAGTATTAGGATATCTACAGCAAACTAATTTATGATTTGTGTTAGCAAGTCGTTTGTTTGCAGTATACGGATCATGATCGTATTATTTACCTAATTTATAATTTTTGAAATTGTATTTTCATAAAGTTTCTAATCTTTTAATATATTGCATTTTAATACTTATTGTAGTTGGCGTCACGTGTTTTATTCAAATCCATATGGATCTTTCTTTGGTCAAAAGGTACAAATTTCTGAAAAAATTCTAATTGCTTAAATAAAAAGATTAAAATACCCGGAAAACCGTCCGATTTTACACTCGTCAATTTCTACGAACGAGTTAGGTCTGCCAATTCTCGGTGCTTGCAAATATCTTCTGTCCATAGCATGCACGCAAATGATTGCCACACCGGAACAGTCTTGTGCGACAGTTTTTTTCCCTTCGTGGGAACACTGGATCACAGTTTTTGTAGGACTACTTATATGAGAACCAACACATAATTTGAAGAGATTGCCCCCACAGTTAATATCACGTTTGCGAAAATCATTCTTCTTGTTGCAGTAATTTTCACACTTGGATGATTCTTTTCGCCCGAGAAGTCGTTAAATCCGTTCCCTCTGCTAATGCTCCACAACCCGCACATGGCATTTGAGTGGGATCGAGTCCATATTCACGACACCACTGTACACTGGCTGCCTCATTTCCCACAATATTTGATAAACTTATCGATTTCATGTTCTGGTTCATGTGGACAACAATACGCTATCCCCCAGCATGTAAAATTATTTACATGATTATTTACAGGGCTATTAAGCCAGGTTTTTCTCTTAAAAATACTATTTAAATGAAACATGAAAGAATTGAAAAAAAAAGTACCTATCATAATTCTGTACCAACGTTTATTAAAATGATTTGATATTACCGTCATACATCATACAATTTTCATACTATGCAGCAATGGATAAATGAGAAGTTATTCCCTGAAGTTCATTGTTGGCGATGTGGATGGTAAAGAGATAACATAAGGCAGCTTTATTTTCTTAACCTTAGTGTTACAAAGGCTACGTTATATAAAATGGTATATCAACTTTATTAAAATCGGGAAGAATATGTATACAGATATGCGTAAGGTAATGATATCGTGCACTTGAATGCATTCCTAATTCGATATATTGGATGGCCAGTTCTTGATGTTATTGTAGTATTTGTGAAATTATCCTTGTTTGTATTATACGCGCACGTTTTCTTGAGCCTCGTCATACCAACTCCCACTCCTTAACTATCATTTGTTGGATTCAGAATAAATGATAGCCACAAGTTTTGTTGACTGATAACCAGAAGTGTTTGCTCTAGTCTAATAGAAAATAGTTTGCATCGAAAAACGAGCTATATATTTCATATAATAGTCCTATCAGTTAAATAATCAAAACTCCTCACTCCCCTCGCATCTAGCGAAATGAAGGCTCAAGAAAACGTACGGTGATAATATGGGCATATAAAATGCCCAAGATGTTAAATAAGATTTTTTTAGTATTGAAAATTTAATGTAACATTATTTATTAAGAGAGAGAAGGGACAGCATTCATGGAAATGTATTAATCAAATGAAAATATATTTTTAGGAATCTTGTTATTCCTGGACAGAACAAATCCATAGTTTTGAAAGATGGTTTGGTTAAAGCAGTTACACCAATGCTTACCATTCCCACATTCCCTGTTGTATTTAAGTTATTGGGTACCTTACGAATGGTTGTGGATGGGCAAGGTAAGATTTTATGATTAAATTTAAGTATTCACCGAAAAAAATTTGAGTTAAATCTTATGTAAATTTTTATTACATTATCTGCTTTCTGTATATTCGTATGTGTTTCTAACGGTTATTTCCTAATTTTCCGAGAGTTGTAATACGTACATATTTGTGTAATTGTAGAAGATGCAGCCTGTGAACTTGGGAAGCAAAGAGATCTTGTTGATAGGTTAGTAAAATGGTGCGACACTGACGACCATCCTGGAGTACAAGGAGAAGCCAATCGCTTATTGGCGTGGCTTATCAAAAATAGTCGGTAAGGTGAAATTGCATTGATAAACATTTTGTTGCGGGACTGTAAATTAGTTTCTCATTTTCACCACAGCTATGTTGGTGGAGACAAAAACTTTAATATTGTTTGTATCATTGCAGTAATGCAGAAGTTTTGAGTGTAATGATAGAAGCAAAAGCTCTTCCATGTTTGGTTAAGATGGTCTCTGTAGAACATGCTGTCATGCAAATTGAGGCTTTAATAGCTCTTGTTTTGACTGTCGTTATGAGACCTGATTCAGTCAATTCGCTGCTTGAAGCAAATATTGGAGAAAGTTTGTATAAACTTTTGAAAGAACATGGTGCCTCTCTTTCAAAGGAAGTACTGCTCAATTTACTGTGTCTTATAGAAGAGCTTGTTAAAGTAGGTAAGTATGCTACATTGCTATTGTTTTTAATCTTTTAATTTTTGTCTTCTCTAAGCTCGCTCTCCTTAGCTTGCACGTAAATGGATGGAGGCATATGTAGGACGAGTAATTTTTATAAAAAATCTTCGATAGTTAATGTAATGTGTCTCTGTCAATCTATACACGTTCAAAGAAAGCTTTTCCTGTAATAACTAGTGAAGCAACAAAATGGCTGGAACTTTCTCGTACTAGTTATTCCTCCTGCTTTGTGGGACGGCTATTTTTTCATTTCATCCAAACTACGTTCCGGCGACTAAACTACCTATCAATGCTTTTCGCGGTGTCTGCCACCCCCTGGCGACAATTCTCAGTCAAAATCATTCTCATGTTTGATGTGTAAAAATGACCTGCAGCAGCAGTCGCAAGTTAACACACTCCCGAACCCCTCTCCGTCTCCGTCCCTCTCCGTCTCCGCCCCTCTCCGTCTCCGTCCCTCTCCGTCTCCGTCCCTCTCCGTCTCCGTCCCTCTCCGTCTCCGTCCCTTTCAATCAAATACTATTGTATTTGTGAGTTATTGTGGGTTAAATGACTTCTAATAAAGTTTTTTGAAAACTCAATGCCTACCTTGTCAAACGGACTACAGATCGCTCGCGATCTATCCTATCTCTTCCATGTCCAAACGTCTCCCGTAAACACACCATACACTTACACTAACATGCACTACACAAGCACACATGCCGGGAAATTGGTCAGGAGCCTAGAGCTTATCCTGGCTGGGGCGGTGCCCCGCTGGTGGGAGGTACCTGGTTGGGAAAACCCTTCTAGCCGACGGGAGGTCGCCGCCGAATCTCGCCATACTGCGAGAGAACAATCACCGCCACCTCCCGAGCATAATCATATACTACACTTACAGAACTAATGACCGTTGTAGTTGACGTTCCCGGAATCACTAAAGCAATTAATCGAAAACAAAAAAATTATTTTGAAAAGAGCCGGTAGCACTTAAACGCCATTTTCGTAAAACGGTTTCAATTTTTTCAAAGAAAATAGCCATTAACTGAATAATTTTTGGATCCTCCGTTTGTTTTTATCGTTTTTGTCTTTTCACGTCGCAAACAGTGGCTTCCCTACCCCCGTATCTTTCTTCGGCGAGGGGCTCGGCGCCGTTAATAACCGGTGTTCCCTGACGGTCACCTGACCAGGAATCCGGGGTGTCTCGAATTCCTTAACTTCAGTAACTTAACGTATCGTATAAATGTTAAGAGTTAAGCATTTCGGCTTACGACGCCGGCTTTCAAATTCTTCTTTGTTTTAAAACTATTGTAATCAAACTTTTCAATTTGAAATACTTTTTTCCGTGTTTTCAGATAATATGAAGAAGCATCTTCTAGAGAAGGAGGTGGTCTCAGTTTTGAAACCTTTGTTAACAAGGCAAAACCTTGTCGAAAGAAGTGATAAAATAAATCGATTGATTGCAACTTTAGATGCAGGCTGAACATGACTTACATGCACGTAATGAAGGAAGTTAGAACAACGTTAATTTATTAATATTGTTATTGTATTATTATTATTATTATTATTATTATTATTATTATTATTATTATTATTATTATTATTATTTGCAAGATAATTTTTTACCTACTTATGACATATTAAATACTGAAGGTTATGTAATTATAAACATGATTTGAATAGTGAAGAAATTTAATTTGTGTTATATTTTTAAGACTTAAGAAATGTGAAAGGTGACTTACCATTTCATGATCACCATATGTATAGATACTTTATTGTACTTTGTAAATGTAACATCTGTATGTGTTTTTTCTACATCTTGCAAATTTGCAATGAGTGAATTTATCTTATTGAATTATGTTTTTTGAAATTAATTATAATTTTTACGTTGTGAATAGTTTGCATTCCATACATCATTCTTATATATTTCTAAGTATTCATGTATTATGCTACTGAGAATTAACACAAACACATTATAAAGCTTCATTTGAATGCTGTTTTAGTGAATTGCAAAAGAGGCAATATCTGAAATTTCTGAGTATTTCTTATGAAGAAATATTTGTATTTGTACATGCTGAGGAGGATAGTTAATGAAAATATTAAAGAGCGATGAAAGAAGTTTTCAGTAACAAATTGTTTCATAGGATGTAATACTGCATTGGATAAGTTTTGTAAAAACTGTAAGGATTCTTCTTGTGGGCTGTTGTATGATTGAAGAATTGATTCTCAAGTAGCTGCTCATAGATGCTTGACATATTGAATAATATTATTTGTGTTAAAATGGAGAAGATGAAAACGAGTAATTAAGATAATTTTTATGTTCAGAATATTCCATACATTCTTACATTGTATTACTGTATGATACAGTATTTTTAGAGAAATTCATGTGCTTGAATTTTCATTAAATTTGAAGTGTGTTTTTGAAGTGTGAAGAAGTTTCAGGAATGTTTAATGCTCTTCTTGTTACATTTTTGGTTACCACTTGCTTAATTGCTGCTACCAAAGATATTAAATTACTACAAATTGTTATTGCAGATGAGTCAAACTCTTTCTTTAAAGGAGATACATCTGTAAAATTTGTTAATAGTACTCCTTTAACAACAAATTTTTCCAATTTATCATTATTGCACGTTGTACTGAATTGAAATGCCTAGAGAAATGAGGTAGTAATTATAAACCCTCATCCATTGTTATTAAAAATAATTTCAAAATAGTGATCAAGATGAATTAGAGAGTAATGAGTTAGAGAAATCTAGATCATTTGCATGCTGCCATTAACACATTTAATGTTTGCCTATTTATTGACGAGTTGAAAAGAATAATGTGTAATATTACAATTACAATGGATGCTTTTCATATTTAAAAAAATGTATGTATGTATATGTATATATATATAATGCACACTATTTTTCACTGCTTTAAAGGGTCTTTTACAGACATCTCTTTTGCAATCGTAGATATGAATCGAGCAAATCATGTAAGTTTTAGAAATATTTTATGAAATTCAAAAATTTTTGAATTAGGAATTTGTTTTTATTTAACTTTTCACGTATTTGAATATAAAGCTTGGTAAAGGATTATAATTTGTGACTCTTTTTGGAGGTAAATTTCCATAGTAGGAATTTGAAGCTTGTAATGTTAAGAATAGAAACAAAGAAGCTAGCCTTTAGTGAATATAAAACATTTTTTTTTTAACAATCCACACATTTTTTTAATGATTTATGAACATTTTAAAAGTTTCTTTTGCTTCAAAAGAACCTATTTAATTTTTACGAGTACATTCCCCCTCCCCCCTTTTTTTTCTGCCTTAGCTAGGGTGCCATCTCTCCATTCAATAAATTGCTTTATGAAGCAATATTTTTATAAACAAAAATTATCTTGTGTTTGCAATGTTTTCTATTCCTTTCCAAAAATACACTTATTTGTTTGTATTTGTTACCCAAAATATATACATAGTTATATTTTATGTTGCATCCTCAATGGCTAAAGCTTCAAATTTTGCCTCTAAAGAGAAAGAATTTTCATATTCTGTGTGTTTCTTTCTACTCACTTGCAAAATAATCTCTTACAATGACAAGTGTCATAAAATTCTTTTCCTACTACCAATTCAAGTTCATATTTGTTTTAATGTTTCATGCTACAGAATGAACAGTATTTCCTCCATCTAAATCAGTCAACTGAACAGAGTTCAACATATTATTGTAATTGTCATTGAATTGCTTTCATTTCTTAATTTAACGTAATCTATGCATATAAATAGGGGTAGTAAATGTGAGCAGTGTTGATATTATATTTGTCTTTTATTGTTTGTGACCTTTTTTAGACTGATTTATCCAAAAATGACAGTATCTTTTAATCCTTTTTTAAAGAAGCATCGAATGTGCACATTTTGTTTTTATTGAAAACAATTTTTCATATTTTATGGCAATGTATGAGAGAAATAACATACTTCCCATGCAAGATTGTGTTCCCAAATATTTTTTGTAATATATTTAGATAGTTCTACACAAACATTTTTGTACGTTTTGCAAATTTCTGTATGATACTATAAGTTTTTTGTTATAAATTATGCAAAATTGATTTTTATTAGACATTGATATATGTGTATAATTTTAATACTATTTATTCACAACTAGAAAGAATTAATGAATTTGACAATTACAATTTGCCAAGGCATTCTGTAAATGATCAAACTATTCTTGTTAATTTCAAACAAGTTTTAGGCATGTAAAACTAGTTTTGAATGTAATTATTGTCTGCCATTGGTACCTAGCTGTTACAAGAGGAAGCGACCTGGATTGTTGCAGGAATTTATGATCACAACAGGGATGACAGTATTTTATTCTAGTCATTGAAAGAAATCTTTGAGTAATTTTTTAGAGCAATATGTTATATATGCTTTATCAATTGACCTTGAGAGTTTAATGAAATTGAATTCCTAAGAAAAAGGATATTCTTGCAGAGCTTACTTTCATACAAAATGGAGAGAAAAATATAACTATTATATTACTGTTATTCACATTCTTAGCTCGGAATTAAATATAAAACAAGTAGTACAGGTATTTGTACTCTTATGTCTTCCTGACAGAAATGCCCCAAAACTTAAAAGTGCCATTGATTACATTACGTTGTCTGTTCTTTGTATCCAATGTGAACATTTATACCAATGAATTTTGAATCTGTAGATATATTGAAGTAGACACAGTGTTATTATGATGAACATTTTTTGAGTAGTTATTATAGATAAAAGAAATAGTTGTTTTAATACACTTTCATGTTTTGATACTAGTGAACTTGTGACATCTTTGGAAAGTTTGCACCACTATTAAACCAATTCAAATAACTTAGTAAATCAACTTTCACAAATTTGATTATGAAAGTGTATATTTAATTGTTATTTTTATTTTTTTTCAAATTGAAAAGCATAAAAATAAATCTAATTGTCTGAACTAAGCCAAGACAAATTTAATAATTTACTCTTCTATAAAATTTTGCATTTCATTGCATTTTATACAAAAATGATTTTTTTCACTGAAAGTAGTTTAGAAATTAAAATGAATTTAGTTTTTAGGAACCATTTAGCTTTGGTTCTATTTATTACTGTAATTTATGTAAATATTTATTTCACTGAACTACTGCAGAAATTTTTAGATTATTCAATTTTATTCTTAAACTACAATACCTACTCTTATTGTATGCAATATCTGTGTTGTCTTATATTGAACATAAAGTTTTGCATTCAATTGTGTGAAAAAATACATTATTTCAGATGCTTCATCTGTTTCATTATTGATTGATTATTTATAAGTATGTTTTGTGAACTGTGTACAAATAAAGAGGCATATTTATGACAAATTCCAATTTTGAATCATCTCAATATATCAATGTTGAAAATTGTAAAATTATCAGAGATAATTTCTAAAATTGAAAAAAAAAAAAAAAAAAAAAAAAAAAAAAAATTATTCCCAAAATATGAACACACTGGAAATATTGACATAATATTTGATTGCCCATTCAATGTATTTAAAAATTTATAGAAGGGAAATTAATTAAATAATGTGGAATAAATATAACAAAAATTAAAACATCAGTCATTAATTTAGGAATTGCATATGCTCTCAATTAGATTATATTTGGCTACAAAAGTAAATTGCAGATTGTTTTTTTAAAAATTCAAAAGATTTTCACTATAAATTTCAATAGTGCAAATTAGTTACAATATATATTTAACATGTCAAAAAACTTGCTATCAGATATTGCTATTTTATTATTGATTGAAGTGAAATCCAATGTGTATTTAAATTTTATTGTAGGAAGAAGAAAAGAAAAATAAACAAACTGCTGCTGTTCAGTAAAAAAATGTATTTTATCAATTTTTAAAGTGAAATTATTTTATTAGTGTCATAAAAATTATCATCATTGTCAAGCATGTGAAATCTATACCATATTTATGATGTGTCTTAAATGTTAAATGAACCAGTATGCTATGCATTTCCCTTGTAACAGTCTCACTTCTCAGAAATTGCTTCACTTTTTGCATGTTTGGGTTAGTTGTTAGTTTATTTCCTGACTACGTGCAAATTATTTTCAAACTGTCATTTTTAAAAGTATAATTTTATTATGGAACATTATTTGTATTGCCTTCTTTTTCATAACTTTGAATAAAGAAATTGAAGATATTTAAGTTTTTGATTTTTTTCATCAAAGGCTTGAATGCATGAAGCAGAGTTCTGTTGTTATTTCAGAACTACCAGAAGCAAGTTCAAATTTAATTGGTAATTGTAGTTTTGAAGTAAAATCATGAATGCATTCTTTGTGGTAAAGTGAATTTGAGAAAAGGCTGTGTTTTGATACAAATGGCAAGATATAAAAAGTGATTACCTGAATAATGAAATTGGTTTGTGTTTACAAAGCCAAAATTCCTTCATTTAAAAAATTTGTGTTTTTTTATCTTTGCTTTGCTAATTAAGTCATATTATTAGCTTTCACCTCTTAGAAAAAGAATGATAGATTCAATCAATCTGAAAATATTTTTTTCTTAATACTGCATTGTTAAAAAATCGCCTAAATACAACCATACAGAGGAACAAATAGTAACTTTTAACAGCTAGCATCAATCAAGGATTTAGAAGTTAGATATCTGTTCAGAAAAATTTAAAAACGAATTGGAGCTAAAGATGATGTATGTGTACTCTTATTCCTAGAAATGATATTTCTTGTTTATATAATTTTTTTTCTTGTAAGGACATATTAGCAAAAGTATGGAGCAACACATGTCTTGTAACACAAATAACAGTCTTGGTTAGTTATATAAACCTTGGCTACCCCCTTGGTTTACAAACTTGAATCATATCTTTTATGTGTAATTTATCAGTCTAATGACAATAATATCTGTAGTGTGATGTCTCTAACATTAAATTATTTCTGAGACATTTTTAGAAAAGCCAAAATTAAATTATTAGTTAATGTTCAAATGATTATCAAAATATTTGAAATAAATAGAATGAATGAAACTATTTATTTCATTTTTCAGTTAAAAGTTTGCAGGTTTGCTGAATATCGTGAGTACAGTTAATAATTAAATTAATGTCGAAATTGTTCAGAAATTTAACCTCTCTTTAGAATTTGGAACTTACTCTTTTATAGTCCTTTAAAATAACAAGAAATGAAAAGTTTGGGAAAATTAAAATTATAATTTTTTTGGGGTGGGAAGGGATTATTTCTCTGACAGTATCAATACAAATTTGGATGGATGTACTTTAAAAATACGAATTGCAAACTCCATGTGAAGATGCAAAGCACAATGTGCTCAAGAAAGTGTTTCTTCTGAGGAATACACATGCAAATAAAGAGATATTGGGACTGATGAGAGAATTGTTGATCCATTTTAATACCAAACAGTATCCAATGTACTTTGACAAATTGAAGTGAATTATGAACAATAAGAAAAACATTATGTATCAATAATATTTTTGTCTGCAATTAGTTTAATCTAACTTGGTGCAGTAACCCACTTGGTGGTCCTGATGCTTGTCATGTCAGCCAAAGGAAGGGGGAAGGGAGGTGCTGCTTGCATTCCTGATAGAGGGAAAGAAAGTATAAAAGACCCTAGTATGGAAAGAGGTGTGGTTCTTGGACCATTGCAGCAGGTACCCATGTACAATTCGGCCCAAAATCTTGTATATATTACCCCTGATTAGACCGAATCTGACCATACTTTCAATGAATTGCAAGATTTTCAAAAATTTCTAATAAACAACACTAGAATAAAAGAAAAATGTCACATGTACAATTTGCATAGGAAGATGAAATACATTTTATCTAAACACCCCAAATACTTCAGGGTTGTTGTTTCTTCTTCTTCAACTTCACCTTCTCCTCCTTCGCCTTCTTCTCCTACTCCTCCTCCTTCTCCTTCTCCACCTTCTCCTCCTCCTCCTTCTCCTCCTCCTCCTTCTCCTTCTCTTTCTTCTCCTCTTTCTTCTCCTCCTCCTTCTCCTCCTCCTCCTTCTTCTTCTCCTTCTCCTTCTTCTACTTCTACTACTTCTTCTTTTTGTTTGTTCTAGGAAATTTTAAGTAAAAAAAAGCTACAAAAATGGATTGCATAGAAAAGGCTTATCTCATGACTTAATTGTCCATGAATTATTAGATTTCCAATATTTATTTTTGTTTATTGTCTCATTACTGAAAAGGCTGTTCCTAAGCAGTTTGAAGATGTAGACAAATTGTTTAAGGCATCTTCGCCTTTAAAAAATTATTTATACTCTAATAAGATATGTTTTCTATTTATTAATAATACATTTGTAACAAATTTTGTTAAACTTATGCCATTTACTATTAAACTATTATTTATACTTGTAAAATACATGTTTTTCATTCAGCAATAATATATTTGTTATACATTTTGTTAAAACTTTCTGCATTCATGGTTGAGATTGAACACTTCTGCTTGAGAGGCGTATACTACCACTCATTAATTACATCAGCGTTGTAACTCAAAAATTGTTGGAAAAAAAATGCATTCGAAGATTATAATTTACTTTCACTTTAATTAGAAATAGTTTGTGATTATCGCATCCAATCATTTTGATTCAGTCACTCAAATTTTATGCTCATGCATTGAAAAATCAAAAAATGTTACACTGAACTACACACATGAACAAAAAATTATGATTTTTCAGTTATGACTCACATTAGTGACGTTTGCTAGCCTTGCCATACCAAAGGGGAAAGTGAAAGAAGATCTCCTAAGTATTGTTGGTGTCACAAACTACCCTCGGAGGGCTTCTGGAAATTATATCAATTTAAGTAATCTACTGCCCTTTAATGAATGGATAGAAAATGATTAAAAAATAATTTAATTGGAAATGTAGTTAAATAAGAATCAATATTTTTTTTATGATGCTAAATTTTAATTGATTTAATTTTCAAAACTATCTTTAAGAACCTGTTTTTGGAAAAAATGAAAATTCCCCTGCCCTTGCTAAGAGCGAAAACCAAATGGTAATTTGTATTTAAATTATTTTCTGTGTAATTTTTTGCTGTTTCAAAATTTCTTTTGTGGTCTCTTGTTTGCCCATGCTTTTAGGGATGTTTATTTTCCAAAATATATAACTTTCTGAAAATGGCAAGCATTTTTTTTATCAAAAAAATATTTTTGAAATGTTAGAAATATTATGAATTTAGGAAATAATGAAAATATTTTATTTGTAGCATTGAATGACAGTGTCTTTGTATGATGTGATTATAACATTTTTCTTGATCACAAAAAGAAGAAACAATGTAAAAGAATACAAAATAAACAGATGTCTAATAAAGCATTCCAATTTATAAAATATGAAAAAATTAGTACCAGTAGAATATTTTAAAACCACCAAAAAAACATTATAAAAAAGAATTGGAAAATTCACATATTTTCAGTTTCATAGTAGTTTATTTTAAAAACAACAAAAAACGGACATAAAAAAATATAAAATTTACAGACAATTTTATTATAATCACCATCAACAACATGAGTAAGGTATAGGTCCCATGACCTGTTCTAGTTTCCAGTATTCCCCTACACTAGTTAATGTTTCTGGTCGTCCTATTTCCTCTTGGTCTGTAGTCCATAACCACCTTTGGAAGTCTACTTGGTTGCATTCTATTTGTATGTTCTTGCCATTTTGCCTAACATTTCTATATTTCAATATCTAAATTCTTTCTTTTTAGTGTTTTTCATATTACTTTGTTTCATATACCTTGTCATTTTGCCTGAGGTGCCAAATAGCCTAGCACCAGCCGTGCTTGTAGTACTGCTCTTAGATATCTCATTTGAACTCCCTCTATTCTCTGTTTAGGCATCCCCCCCTCCCCCTAGTTTTATTCAGTTTCATGTTGTATAAAAGGTCCCAAATGGATATCTACTCTCAAACATTTTATGAATTAATGCAATCTTAGTTAAAGAAATTCAAAATTTGAAAGTGTGTTCACAATTTTTTTCATCAGTTTATTTCTGTTTTCGAAATATTAAAAAATGTATTTCTTGAAATGAACTGTAAATACAAATAAAGTGGTAGAAATAACATTAATTTTGAATAATTTTATTAAAAAAGAAGTTTACGTCTGTACCAAGAAGATTTTTAAAACACATTTTTCAGGATTCTCTCATTTATTGTACTTTTGAAGACGCGCCCTTACAACAGGATATGAAGTACGTGTTGTACCATGGGAGCTCTGCCACGTAACGCATGACGACTTCCGCTGATAACAAGTCACAGAATCATATGTGTCGTGATGTGTGAGAATGAGAACCGTTGTTTCTTCTCGTGAGAAATATAATTGAGAAATTGTTGTTTTGTCACTGTGTTTTTAAACACAAAAAAGCGTGTAGACTTTCTTAAAATTGTGATTTGTGAATATTTTTCAATGAGTGGTGATCTGGGCCGGTTAGTATGCGCTAGTACAAAGTGGATCCTAGTATTTGTCATTTAATATTTTTTTTCATAACTTTACGTCGTAAAATATTGTGTTTTTGTCTCATGGTATACAAAGTTTTGCACAATTTGTAGCGTAGTAATTTAAGTCTTGCATGTGGGTCAACGTTGAAGGACACGTTAATCCTATTAACTTGTCACTTTTGTCATCTCTTTCGGAATTGTTGTGCGTTAGTTACGTATTTGGGCTACAAAATGAAATGTCATGCTTTCAGTCGTGCCGTTGAATAAAATCGAATACTTGTCCCAATTTTGTAATGAATGACGTTTTGTGCTTATTCATTCTTGAATGACACTTGTATTGCAGTTAAAGAGAAATTGAACATCTGTATCTCGTCGAAATGGCACAATCAAGTGGTTACCCTAATAGTGTACCACCTATACCAGGTATGTTTTGAAATGAAGGATACTATGAAGTACTTATAAAAGTGGTCTTTGAAATCTTTGTTTATTTTGTGATCTAGGAAGTAATAATTCTGGGGGCCCAAATTTTATTCTTAATGGCCAGCCTCCACAGTGGGGAAAACCACCAATGACTACAATGAAACCATCTAGACAGCCCAATTATCAGTCGTATATGAATCAGTCAAACCCTGTGTCTTCTAATGGTACTCCATCTCAGCCAAGTCTCAGTAATCCAGGTACTTTATATAGTTTCGTAATCTGATAATGATAGTTCAATTACTTATGTTTCTTTGCTTTCACTTGGATTTTTTCTGTAACATGATCCATGAAATGAGAGAATAAATAGGTATATGGAAGAATAATAAAGTGAAGGTAATTTCTTACTTATTGAAATTGTGTTTTTTTAACCAGAAGATGATTTTTTGATTCATACTGTATATATCATAACTCAAAATAAAATTGGATTCATTGCTGATGCAAGTTGTTTTAAAGAGAAAAATTATATTCCTAAATTAGCATTATTCATTCAAGTAATATGTTTTTCAAATGTTTCAATTTTGTTTCAGGTAGCCTCTCTTCACATTCATCTCGGGATCCTTCTCCTATTCCTTCCAATTGTTCAGATAGTATGGCTCGATCTCAAGACAATGCACTCAATCCTTATCCACCATCTCTTCAGCATCATTCTCCTCATCAAAGATTCAATCCAAGTGTTTCCTCTAGTTCAATGCCACAGATGTCTAACAACCAGCAAATATTACAGCAATCATACCCCCAAATGAAGCCTAAAATTAATCAGTCTGTAGGAGAAAATATGAGTGGACCAATACCTTTGTTACCGAAACAGTACAAAGATGGACATGAGATGACTGGTATTAATAGTCAGGGACAAAAATTGAGCACAGGTTCAACAATTTCTAGTGCTCAATTCTCACATAGTGGGACCATATCACCATCTAGAAGCCTGCAAGGAAATCAGAAAGCTTTTGGACCAACAATAAGTCAGAACCAAAGTCAGCCAGTGACCAGAAGCAATCAAATAATTACTAGTAGCAGTACATCCCAAAATATGACCCAAAATCAGCGACATACAAATACTTCTGTGGCCAATGCCAGTAATGTCAGTAGCAGTTCATTTCAGATGTATTCACAACCTTTAGTTACATCACAGCTTACAACAAATGGACCACATGGGGGTGTGACAAATTGTGATGTGCCAGGTGCTAGACAAACCAATACAGTAACTGCTTCAAGGACAGATAGTTCATTCACAGGAACTCAGCAACGATTAGGGCAAGATGGGAAAGTTCAGAGTGGTCAAGAAGCTTATGGTCATCAAAATAATATTAGTAATCAATATTCACAGCATCCAGCAACTTCAGCAGGTGTGACAAGTGGATCACTTTCTTCAACCGTAGGAAGCAGTGTTCAAGGACATGCTCAAACTTCTGTGTATCCATATGCATCAGGGAGTAACCAAAACTCGCAGTCACAGATATTACCACCTACTTCCTTAAATAAATTAGGTCAAGGATCAAATCCATATATTTTCCAAGGAAGTGCTAACAATTCAGCTGGGCAGTATCCAGGAATGCCTTCATCACAAGTAAAAACGCCTACTAGTGTTCCTGCATCATTTGGTCCCACAAAACCTCATTCTTTGGTGACCGCTAATGCATCTCAGATACCTCCACCTCCTACAAATGTTTCTGGACAATATCCTCCAGTCTCAGGTCAGAATCCGAGGTATCCTAATCCCCCTAACAGCAGTGCTCCTGGTCAGTATATTAGTTCTCCTCCCTCAAATCAAGTTCCAGGGCAACAACCACCTCCAGGGCCTCCTCTTCCAGGACTTCCTTCAGGACCACCTCCTTCTCAAGGTCAGCAATTTCAGCAAGTATCTAACCAGGCCCCTCAATATCCATTGGGTGGAGTATCTTCTGGTTACTCTTCTCATGGTTTGCCTCCAACACAAACTGCATATCAGTCATCAGTTCCACAAGATGGACAACAACTTTCTAAGAGATACCCACAGGTACTGGAAAATTTGAATTATCTGGTCAGATGACAGAATATTATGTAATTTGGGATGTATTGTAATTAATTTAAGTTAAAATATACTGTTTGGTGCTTCAGCCTATATATCCTACTAGTCAGCCTGCTGATGGCTTGGTTGCACCAATGGGAAATTTATCAGTGACACGCCAAGGTTTCAACAAGTTGTGGGTAAGTTTTGCCTGAGATATGATTTTAATCAATGCAATATTGTTATTGTGATTTTATTTACTTTTATCACTACAGAAAACTTCGGAGTGGTGATTTCCATACAATGTAAACAAAAAAAAAATTTGAACAATGTGCAATTGGTTAGCTGTTGCTAAGATTTCAAATATTTGGATCTCAATTCAATTTACTTGAAATTACTTCACTTGAGAGCGGGAACATTTTTATGAAACACAGTTGCTTATAATTATAACAGGGTTGGTGAAATAATGTTCATTATGTGTCAGTGTCAACAGTTCACTACAAAAAATGCATATAATGCATGTATGTTACTTAACAACTGATAGCCAGATGTCAAGACATTACAATCAATAAATAAATTATCAGTGCCAAATGAAATCTTTACTGCAGTGAATCATTTGACTATACAATTAAAGGCTATATTGACCATTAAAACAAAATTATTATTATAAAGGCATTCATTATTGTTTGTATTGTTTAATTCATAGAGACTAAACATGCCTGTAACAAATTTTGTATCTTCCCAATTGTTTAAACCTCATTTCAATCAGGATTTTTGCCCAATTTCCCTTGAGCAAATGCTGACACAGCTCTTCTGGACATAAATGTAAATTTACTATTTGTTGAGCTCTACTTTGCTTAGTTATGCTAGAAGTGGGGTCGGGAGTGTGTGTGTGTGTATGTGTTTTTGTTAGCAGTGCTATAAAATCAAATCTGTAGTGTATTTATTGCTAATGCAAATAAGTTTTCTATTACTTGGGAGCAAAACTTTATAATTTTCAAATGTAGTTAACCACACTTTGTTTGTATTTCTTATCATGTTTGAACTATATTTAGTTAAAGGATGAGGTAGGTATTCTAGAAGTAAAGGTGTGCACTAATTATATTTATTCCCCTTGTATCACATATTTTTCAGTGTTCTTTTAATGACAAATAAATTAAATGCAAATTTATCATGTTAGTATGTAATATTAATATATTTGTGACAAATTCATTGCATTTAGGTCAATGCACAATGTACCAATTTACTAAATAACTCAACAGTATGGTTGTACAGCTTCAAATTCAGAATGTTGAAGTTGAATGTTTAACATTAGATTTGATAATAAGCTTGAACTCTTAATGACAAGATATTTTTTCAAATGTAATTGAATTGTAAGTTAAAAGTATAATTCAAATTTTTTTCAGGGTCTTGAATATTATGATTTACTTCAAACTAGAAATATTTTACCTCCTGATCGTGTGGAGGCTCCAAAGGTGAAGTTACATCAAGAATTTTTAGATAATGTGAATTGTAGTCCTGAGTAAGTATTTTCTTATTAATTCAAAATATTCTTTGCGACCCTCTGATTTGATGTCTCGAATATTTTGTTGTAATAAATTTATTTTATGAAGGTAATTTTTTCTGTAGATGACTATTAATACATGTGTACTGAGTTTTATGTTTTCTTTATTCTTGACATTTTGCTAATATTAAAGTTAAGATTTTTCTATATTAAGTTCATGAGGCAAGTAAGTGGCTCTGTTTTCTTAAATTCTTGTTCTTAATATAGAAAAATTTAAATTCATGAAAGTTTTTGTACTTGTTATACAATGTCGTGTTAATAACTGAAAGAAAAACCTCTATAGATCTCCTGAAGATCAGTGAACTCATATGCTTGAAATGTCAAGAATAAAGAAATCATAAGACTCAGCACATGTGTTAATGGTAATCTTTAAAATTTTGACTCGCATAAATAAATTATTTGATATTTTCTTATTAAATTCAATTTCAAGCATGTAATAAGCATATGTTAGAAATTAATTGAACTGACAAAAACAAACTCTTTTAGAACATGTTATAATGCTTTCAATTATTTTTTAATTTACTTTCAGCATATTTCGTTGCACATTAACCAAAATACCTGAATCTAATTCACTTCTCCAAAAGTCTCGATTACCTCTTGGAATTCTCATACATCCTTTTAAGGATCTTAATGTAAGTTATCTAAGTTCATTACAACTGAAGGAAATAATTTTCTGTTAAGTTGGAATTTCTATTTAATAATCTGTGTATTTTTATTTCTCAGCATTTACCAGTTATCCAATGCAGCACAATTGTCAGATGCCGAGTGTGTCGTACTTACATCCATCCATTTGTTTACTTTGTTGATCACAAGCACTGGAAATGTAATCTCTGTTTCCGTGTTAATGAACGTAAGTACTGTCTGATAATGGTGGTGGTTGGGTCTTTCTGAAGATGTATCAGTAAAAGTTTATTTTAAGTGTAACTAGATGGTTTATATTTTTACAGTAGTGTCATAAAGAAGTTAGGAAGAGGTTGGATTGTTAATTTGAAGAGATCAGTTATTGGTGGTTGTTTTACTAAAAAGTTTTAAATGAAGCCTAATAAAATGTTTGTGACAATCGACTATTCATCCACTGCCTGGAGGAGAAATCTAATCTAAGTTCAGTTAGAAGACTGGCTACTCTGATCGGTAGTTTTCTGTGATTTCTTCGGTTGAGATCAGGCAATTGCCCATAGGCCCATAGACTGCACAGGATCTTTCCTTTCTCTTGCTGATCCTAACCTCTCCCCTCACTCACACTTTACACTTAAACTACACTGCTTCACATGTCTGGAGCTTAGAGCTTGACCAGCTGGGATGATGCTCCAACTGGATAAGATACCAGAAATGGGGCTTTGGGGGAAAATCACTTGCAATTTGGTGTGCAGGTTGGTGCTGGAAGTGACCAGCATGGAGGTGGTGTGGAACATTGCCACCTCCCGGGATTAAACTAATATGACACTAACTGGACTCATCACCATAGCAGCTGATGTGTGGGGAACATCAATAAGTTTCTAATTAGTTCCAAATGTACATAAGTTCATTGATTAAATGTAATTTTTTGTTGTTGAGACAAATATTTGTGATGAATCATTTCTTAACATTACAATTGACTTTGATGTTCTACGAGTTTTTTCTTGGTACTGAATTACAAAGAGTTAAGGATATTTATAAAGTGAGAATACAAAATTTTGCTTGACAAAACTTTTCCCAGTAAGTACTTAGAGGCGAATATGCCATTTATTGTTATTGCCGTTTGTTGTGCTTTGTTTTCTTATTCTTCTACTTTTGAACCTGTTCCATTCCTCATCCAATTTCATTTTCTCATTCTCTCTTAAGTCTCGCTTCTCATGCTTTAGAGTTTCTTTCCCTCATTAATTGTAAAATCAGTCTTACAAATTCTTTATAAATTTAGTTTTCAAGTAACTTTCACTTTTACCTTTAACAAATACCTTTCTATGGTTTTTAACAGCTTATTTTGGATGATTTCATTTTGTCTTTTTCCTGTTTCATAGTAGTATCGGTAAAAGTTGTTATTTATTTTGAATATTCCATTCTCTGTTTTCTTTTCATCATGTTTGTAATTTATATTTTCTGTAGATATTTTACCCAATGTGGTGGATCTGTTTATGCCTTGATAGAGGGTATGTAGTGAGCACACTCAAGAATTTCTATCATATGTTGTCTTTCTACCCTCTCATTACTCATTTTCATTCTTGATTTGGATTTCGGTTTGTTATCCATGTCAGTGTGGAAAGTACACAGTGGAATAGATGTCCTATGGTGTAGAAGTTCATTTCCATTTACTTTCCTGGTTTTAAATTCTATCTACAGCTCCTAAAATCATGTATTTTGGTAAATTTCAGCGTGTCCCAATACATTGACATTGACTTTGATTTTGACTTTAGCCTTTTCTAAATCAACAGTCTGGAACTAATCCACTCCTATCAATTGGCTTGAGCTAGGTATTTGGTTGAATTTCAGAATGAGTGGGCGGAGGGGGGATGTCATTTTGTCCAGTTAATGTGCATCAGGGAAACAGGCCCATTCTGTGTCGCAGTAGAGACCCTGACACTCCAGTGGAGAGCTTAGGGTTAAAGATGGACATTCATCCACCGTTCGAAAACCTCCACCCTGCTCTTTTCTGCTAGGAAGGGTAGAACAAGTGTATAAACTTGGGCAAATATATTTTTGTATGGAAATTAAAAAATTGGGCAAGTTCCAGGCAGTGCTGCACCAGAGAAATGGAACCATCCTCTTGAATGGTTTAGAGTTGAACAAATTATAAAAATTTTAAGAAATTGTTCTGAAAACGTTCTTTCAGTTAGAAAGTGTACTTGTGTATACAGTATCCTTTGGAAGGGGAGTGGGTACTCAGTCCCCATGCTAATGCTCATTTTCTCCTTCAACTATCCTTATCTTTAAAAAGATAACAAGCAGGTTCTAAAATTACACGTTCAGTGGAACGTGGTGAGGAGATAAATACAACTCTACATGTATGTCAGGTTAATGGTATGTTCACTGCTCTGGTACACCTCACACTTCAATAGTACACTTCGAAATTAAATCGGTGCTTGTCTTTCATGAAGGAGAGGGGCATTCAGAAGAGCTGAGTCTTGGAGAAGATTTCCTTCCCTGAGACAGTTTTACCAAAATTGAAACTTGTGGACTTGTTCCAGAGTATTTATTTTGTGGAGAATAGGAATAAAATTTGTTAAAACAGAAAAATTCAAAGATTTTGTTTACAGCCAACTTTCTTTTTGATTGTCCCTGGCCTCAATTACCTTAATTTCTTTTTATGAGTGGCATTGAGAGTAATCAGTATGGAACAGAAGTGATTGTAAAAAAAAACACAAAATATGTGCATAAAGGTTTTAATGTTTTAAAATATATGTTACAATAAAATAGGAAATATTTGATCATCAAATCATGATAATTATACAATTCTCCCAAATGTTTATTTGCAAATTTTCAATCACAAATGTGGCTGTTCAGACTCTAAATTGGATTTGAGCAGACGGATGTACCTCAGCAGAAGTAATTGGACTCTAGTCTTTACCAAACAATATAAGTTTTAAACAAAATATAAAATGATTATGTAGAATATTCTATGTTTTATGAAAAGCCTGTGTTTACAACGTCGGTACATAAACAGTGACAGGTTGGGAAGTGAGAGATTCGGAGACCATGCTCCCTGTACGCTTTCTAGACTCCAACATTATTTACGATGGCTCTGCCACATGTGGGAAGTCCTAGTTTTAGTAACCCAATAATAGCAAATTTTTATATTAGATTGCTAGATCAAATTCAGCAACTATGTGGATTAGAATTCTAGCATGCAGCTGCTCTTAACAGTTTTCTGTGGTTACTCTGATCAATACCAGGCAAATGCTGGAGCAGAACTTTAATGGGCCATGGGCTACACACTATTATTCCTTCCTCATCCCTGACCCTTCCTCTCCTCTTACATTCACGAACATTTGCATTCAAGATACTGCCACATATGTTGGAAGACAAATGTTGGCATGATCAAGTGTCCCAGCTGTGGAAAATACCTGGAGAGGATACAAACCCGCAAACTAATGAGAAGATAATCACTGAATTTCACATTCCCTCAATGGAGGAACAAAGCCACTTTCAGAGATATTACATGCACTATAGTTACAGGATAAACAGTTTAAGTAGTTGACATGCCCGGAAACAATAATAGGTACTTTGTAGAAAAGTAGGAAAAGTCGGAGAATTTCATTGCTCTGCAAAAGCCAGAGAAAAATTCAGAAATTTGTAGGAGGAGTTATAGTCAGAAAAGTTTGAGACTTATGTAATTTGATTTTATTCATTAAAAAAATTAGTTGAACAAATAATAACTCAGTTTTTATTTCTTCAGAATTTTAAAATCAGAAAGCTGACAAATTAGTATCAGGCTCACTTCAGAATATTTTTTAAATAGTGTAAAAAACGCTTGACAAATCTTGAAAGTGAAAAATAGAACTTGGTCTGTATCTTTCTCGCTCACTAGCCTGTGTTTCTTTGGTGTTGCCTCACCCTCTTCCCAGCTGATACCTCTTGCACATCAGACATTTTTAAAAAGTTTTCTCAATGTTCGTTGCCCCAATAGTGGAATAGAATTATAGAAGAGTAAATATTGGTCATGAACGCTAATTTACATTGAAATATTTGGAGATGTTTTTCAGAAAATATAATTTTAGCATTTCTGAAAATGCCCAGTTTCACAGAATTTTTTTTTTTTGATTTTGAGAAACTTTATCAGAAATCATTTAAATCTCATATACTCTCAAATGCAATAATGTTAAAAAAAACAAAAGACTGTGACTTAAATATTAATGAGAGATGTATTTAAAAATAATTACATTTCGATATCTTTTGAAAAATCAAATGAATGGTGTTGATGTCATGTTATTCAGTGCATTAGGCATCAGACAAAAAGGTCAAAGAAAAAAAAAAAGGATTATTTTGACAAATTGTTTTAACTTTGCCCATATTTCACTCAAAATTGCACGAAAATTACATATATTTTCAAAAAAATGTACATGGTATTAATTAAAGAACTAATTATGGAGAAAAAATTTAATTTGAAGAAAAACTCTCTTCCTTCAATATTGTTGATGTTATTGTTATTGTTGGAAAACACTGAAACAATATTGAACTGTTGCAACATTAGCAAATTCAGAGAATTCAACAGAAATCGCTCTTGCTCTACTTTTATAAGTGTATGTTGCTCTGGGGAGGGGGGGGGAGATCTTGAGTCTTCATGTAAAGTACTCTCAAAATTTAAAATATTTTTTTTTAAAAATAAAAGGGTCATGCTGTTAGTCAGATCAGTTTGTCAGTATCGATTTTGGTGAAAATCCTGCTTAAGGTTTTGCCATGAGCTTTGAACACAGAAAGATGGACGAATAGACAGATGTTTTGCCATAAACCAATTTTTCGTTATCAAGGACCCATAAAATGTTGATTCTGACTACATAACGTGTTAAAGGAAATAATTTGCTATGTATAGGAACAAAAATTATTCACTTTTATGGTATCAGGGACTTACAAAATGGATTGTTTTGCCAAAAACGTACTTTTTTTGCAGCAAGCATTACATAATTTCCTCTATACTATGTGTATAGTATGCAAGAATGTAAAAAATGCACTGGAAAATCAGGAAAAGCACGAAAATTTATTTCAAGAAATGAGTGGTCACTGAATAAATACTCAAACATCATTGAAATCGAGCTCAAGCAGGCAGGATTTCAAGAATAGGTTGTAAATTTTTCATCCCTGACCTAGAGATGTTTTATGGTGCATGAAGCACAATAAGACTAAGAAAAGTTTGTAATGTGTCGATTTGAGTCATGAATGAGCTGTATGAAACATGAGCAAGCATGAGGTTAGTTGTAATTACTTCTGCTGCTGTGGAAATATCCTTGATAATGAGAATGCAATTTCTGAGAAGCAGGGGGTAAAACTGTATTACTTGCTTTTGTTTCACAGAAAGATATTTTCAGGAACTTTTATTTGCAATGTTGTAAGTGAAACATTATTAGTGTTGTAAGTAAAGTTGTAAGTGAAACACAGAAATTATTGAATTCATTGTATCTTCTACATTCTATAAATATGTATTTGCATGAAAATTCATTCACTAGTTATCAGCAATCAGTGGTTTTAGATTTAGAAATGGTTTTGCTTTTCTGTGGTCCCCTCTTCTATTGCAAGTGACATTGTGTCAAGCTTGTGGTTTTTGATGGTCTGGCCTAAAAGTGTTTTAAGTAAGAAAAGTCTATTTCAATGAAACCACTAGAACTTGTTCTACAATTTTATAAGAAGAATTTAGTTTCTTGAAAATCGCATTGAATAAAAAAAAGTATTTTGTCAAGTTTTTACATTTTATTCACTTTTTCCACCAATTAAATAAGATATTAGATGTTTTATTTGAAACATCTTACCCAAAAACTACCTGTTATTCAAACTAATGCAATTTTGGTTTTTTGAGAATAAGATAATTTTTCTCTCAAAGTGCTATTTCACCTTGATAAAAAAGACTTTTAAACCTGAAAGATTTTATGATTTTGAATCACTAATTTTTTAATACAGAAATGTTGCTTAATAATGTAAATTTTTTCTTTTTACTAATATTAACTACAAAATCTTGCAGTTCCAGAGGAATTCCAGTATGATCCTGTTAGTAAAACTTATGGAGATCCTACTCGTCGTCCTGAAGTGAAATCTTCTACAATTGAGTTTATTGCTCCATCAGAATACATGGTAAAGAAATAAGTAGTTTTTTCAGTAGTTTGATATATTTTAATTCTAATATGATCTCATACATGTTATTGGCTATAATAGAACTAAACTTGAACATGAACATAATCCTTCAGTGATTGAAAATGATGGAAAAAAAATTAATTTGTTCTTTCTTCATTTTAAATTTTGTAATATTAATTCATGACATTCAAAATACTTTGGAACACTGATTTAGTGAAACAGCAAAATACCACCAAAAGAATTATGCATTTCCATCCCTAATTTAGTGGAATTAACTTTTATATGAAACTTGCATTGAACCTGCTGAGTCTCTGATCACAATCTTTGCAGAAAGGTGACTTTTTATGCCTATGTGTTTTTGATGTGAAATAAATGTGTTATAAGAATAGTATCTATAAAATTTTGAAAGATATTTATTTCAATATTTATACAGTTGACTCCAATTATAGTGAACTTCTGGGGGTCAACATTTTAGGTTCACTATATCAGAGGTTCACAATATTCAATGATGTCAAAATTAAATAGAATATCTTCAGAATTATTGATTTATTAATGTGGAGATACAGCAAAATACATTAACAGCACAAATTGAAAATTTCAGTATCTTTATTTGTCATTACAATGTCTTAATGGCAAAAATTGCCTCATCAGTCCACAGAAATTTCTCAAAAAGTTCAGGTCAATCATCATTCCAACCCTAGAAAGTCTCTCCAAAATCCGTTCTTCCATCACAGATGTCAGACAACAATTGCTATTCATAATGTGACTTCAATGGCTTAAAACATATCTTTGTTAACAATGCTTGCAATTCCGTAACACATTGTGGACCAGCGCCTCACAATGCTAGTTCCCGGCCATTTTCATGTGGTGTTGAATGAACATGTCGGTGTTGATGTAATAGGTTTCAACTTCATTCACCTTGCTGCAAAATTGTATATCCCATTTGACCCCATGGTTCCAAAAATGAAACAGACAATTTCGAGGATTTTATTTCTTATCTCAAATATTCATTTATGAATATAATTTGTGAATATAACTGATGGTGACGGGGCATATCCAGCTAAAATTTTATGGTTATACTACTTCTAAAAAAAATTCTCATATATCCACCGTTTGATGTTTTGGAGCCTTCTAGTGGTATAATTTAGCAACATAACAATGATTTAGAAATAAAAGTTGCAAATGCATGCTAGTTAGTAATTTGGAATGGCAGTTTTTAACGGTTTTTGCATCCAGTGTTACATGGATCACATGTTCAGCACTCCACCACCTTCGTACTAACACCACAGATCCTCAGACCTCATAATGAGCTATTATTCTGGCCTGGTTTTTGACACTCAAGACAGACTGTGTTTTTCAACTGAAATAATAGAATATGCTAAACAAAATGCCAAGGATTGTTCTTTTGGTTGTGAGTAATTTGGTTGTAACAAGACAGGCTCATAAATTAAGTAATTGTAGCTATTCAAAAATAGGGAGTGACTTAACAGGCAGCCATAGTTAGTAGAAGGCACTTGAGAGCTTATCAGCATATTGTATTAATTTACTACACCCATTTGAGAAGCAGATAAATAAAAGCATCAAAGAATAAATAAGTGACCACAGGTTATTTGGAAGAACATTTTATTCCTTTATATGTAGTATACTTCAGGGTAAAGCATAACTTACCATTTACGTGTCAATTTTCAGAAGTTAATATGATACTGAAAATTATATTGTAGTAATCGAATTCTTTCAGATAATGTCTTTCCAAAGACTTTTTACTCATAGCAGACCTGTGGGTTCTCAAAGTATGTGATTTTGTATAGCATGACAATGTTGATAAAACCATTTGTTTTCAATAACTGAGGTAATGTCAACAACAACAAAAATAATCCTGACACATTTTTAAATGTTGATATTTTTATTTTAAAGTGTACCTGAAGAGCTGCATGTACACACTTGTTTTTTCTTCAACATTATTTCTTGTTTTCCACTTTTATATTTCTTGTAGTCGTTCCCTCAGATGAAGAAACTAATGTGAGATTGTCTGTAGTGAAACAATTAAAATAATGGAATTTTGCAAATAAATTATGGACATTCAAAACATAGGAAGTTTTCAGCAGATAAGAGATTTATTTTCCATATACAGTACTATGTTTCATGGCTCACTGTAACCACTTCAGGTGAAGGTTCTGTAAATGTTCAATAAATGTTATAAAGGCATTGTTATTATCCAGTTCGTAAACAAGCTTTATTCCTTTAGAAATTCCTTTAGTGTTGTGCTTCTGTGCCAGTGTTTGTTTTATAAAGATACCTCTGTATACTATTAGTAAGATAGAAAATGTGTAATAAAAAGTCATCTTTCTCAAGTTTTCTTTATGATTCAGTATGCTTTCTCTCAGTTTTTACTTGAACAATTTTGATTACTAATTTTGATTTTATGTGTGTATTCCCTCATTGTAAATTTTCAGAACCTTCATTTGAATTCATTATTTTGAGTTGTGAAATGCAGTGCTTTATTTTTGCAATATGGAAAATAAATCTCCTATGAGCTGAGAATCTTTGGGACTTCTATTTTTTTTATTTTAAATTTCTTGTTATTGTAGGTCTATGTGCATGATTATTTTAATGCCCAAGCAGGTTATTGTGTAAATATATATAGGGTGATAATTATTTTCGCACCAAGGGCATTATAAGGGTGCTAATGATTAAGCAACGACAAAAAGTCTGAGGACCAAGATTATAAGTAGTTAATGCCCATGGTACATACAAGATTTTATTTTTTACCTGTTTATTTTAATTATTCAAATTTACTTATTTACTATTTACCTAGATGTTAACTTGACTTGGTTTATCTTTTCATATTTTCTCTCACATAATTACCTTTTATTATTCTCTCTCATAATTTCCTCAATAAGTGAATGTAGCCTCATTCAACTGTTTTCATGTTCCCCTCACAACCATGATCTTCTTGATTCAGGTAAGTTATGGAGTGTATACTGAGCTTCATATATCAAAGGCAATAATAAGCAATAACATATCTAATTTTCAGGATTAGAAAAAATTAACTGTCACAAATGTGGTTTTACATTTGGGTTACTTAATAAACCATAAACATTAATTTTTACTTGAATTTTTCTTCCAGTTAAGACCACCCCAACCAGCTGTATACTTATTTGTGTTGGATGTTTCTCAACTTGCTGTAGAAAGTGGATATCTGCAAATATTTTGTGATGTTCTTCTGGATGAATTGGATAGATTACCAGGAGATGGACGCACTCAGATTGGATTTATTACATTTGATAGCAATGTTCATTTCTACAATCTAGCAGAAGGTCTAAGTCAACCTCAGCAAATGATTGTTCTGGACACTGATGGTAAGCATTTAAAAACATATTTGCTGTGAAAAATTTGTTGATCACAGAACCATTGATTTTCAGATTAGGGTAAACAAATCTGGGTATACTTAGTATTTATCCAAATATAAGAAAGGCTTTTAAATATCTTAGTAAATAATTGTGGGATTGTTTTATATTAAGTGTGGTCGGATAGGGCTTGTTTTTACGTTTCACAAACATCGTAAATATTGATGTTACAATAAGTTGCAAAGAGGATAAAAATATCGCTCATATTTACAATACATAATTATTTTTGCGGTTGTATTCTTGGTATCCACAACTAATTTGCCGGGAAATTCACATAGATAATTTTGAAGGGTGGGTAGAGAGATATCTAATGAATTGCCTTTTATCAAGTGAAACGTAATATGAAAATGAAATCAAAGATTTAGTTATACAATGCGGGTTCAACAAGGCTGTGCAAATCTTGATTTGATGGCGAGTGTGAATCTGCATTTTGCTAGAGAAGGAAATGAGCAAAATCAAATTGATAGGCTACTGTCTCCCTTTTGACCTTAGAAATGGAGGGGACAGATGTATCAGAGTGCAGTTCACAACTTTTATCACATGAACAGTAAATCATGCTCATTTCAAGTTTATTCTGTTAGTGTGTGAAAAAACTGTTAAAGAAACAGAAGTCAACAGGTGACACTGAAGGAAATGTCCAGAGATACTAGCAATCTGCTGCTAATAATGCTGCTAATAATTATGAGCGGTGCATGATGTTCACTGGTTTTTAGACACCCCCTCCACTTAGTGCTACTAACGTATCCAAAACGAGAGGGTAAGAAGTATCATAGGAATGGACACGAATGGAATAAACAACGTAGACAAGATAGATTGAAGCAAATTTATTGCAGAAACAGCATTCAAATCATGAATTCATTTTTCCGAAGGCATCCACCATAGCCCAGAATGGATCTCAGTGCAGTTTTGGGCAATCTTGGCACCATAAATACTTGCTCAAGTGTATAGCCATGTTCTTGTGGTGAACACCCCATAGGGCCAGTCCTGTACGAAGGGGATGCCAGCTGGTTTCAATGTTGTTAGTGTGAATCCCAATTACAGCAACCACGAAGTAAAGATTGGTTCACTGCCCCATGGATAAAGTTATTTTGATCCAGCTGGTTGTACCCCCTCCAGAAGTCAGTGTAAATTGTGGTGCCAGGTTCCATATGTTGCAAAATCAATTACATGTAGCCAAATCCCTTCTGTTATTGGTGTGGGTAATTCATGAAGTGAAAGCCCGTACTCCATACAAAACCAGCAGATTACTCGAGTACCCGAATGTTCTTAGGTGGCATTTGATAAAAGACTAAGAACAATGCAAATTTAAATGCAAAACTTTCAATGGGGCCTCAAAAGTCCCATGTTGTAGCTACAGAGGACCAAAAAGAAAGGAACATTGATACACGAGATGATCTGGATAGTGATAAAATCCATGATTATTTTTTAATTTATCCCAGTCACGGAATTATTTACTACCAGTTACCAATTAAGGATGTCCCAGTCACACAACTATTTACAACTTAAATCTAACATATACATAAATATTTAAAAAAATTATAATTATAAAGATAGAACATTAAAAGAATTATTTTATTTTAATTTTATTTTTTAAAAAAAAATACAACAGGAAAAGTAGCCCAATACATGAATAAAAACTTCATATTAGAAGCTCCAGTACAAGCATTTCATAACAAATACTAAATAAGAGACAAAATAGTAATGACAATTTTATGATTAAAAAGTGTGATAAAAAATAAATCAACTTAGCAATAGTTTTAGAAGATGAGTAAAGAATATAATACAAATCACCACATGTTACATATTCATTTGTAAGTCTGGGAATTGCAGAGACGTAACATGTAAAGTAACGAAACATGTCTAATACAGTACAATCCCGCTTTTACGTTCCTGGAATTTACATTTTCCCGCACTTTACACTGATTTTCCCCGGTCCCTTCAAGTTTCCTATGTTCACACTGTTAAATTATCCCCATTTTTACTACTTCAAAATTAAGTTTTACCCTCATTATGCACTTTTTGAAGCCATCATGGATCTGTGAATGCAATAGTTTTCAACATATCTTGGCTTTCTCTCGCAAGTAGATTTATACTGTTGGCTACGAATTCTGATAGATCGAGGGATATCAATTTTAGAGAAAATCTGTTGAACGGTTTAGGCACTGGAATTGCCTAAATGGATGGACGGAGAGACAGACACATTTTGCCATAAAATTGATTTTTCTATATCAAGGACCCACAAAACATGGATTCTGGCTACACCATGTATTAGAGGAAATAATTTACTGTTAATGGCAACAGAATGTATCAATTTTCTTGTAACAAGGGCTCGGCATTAAACGTTTTTCTGCTGAAAATTCGTTGTTTTGCGGCGCACGATTACCCAAATTTCCCTTCTTATTATTAGTGTGTAAGTTATAATATCAGAATTCCTGAATTTCAAAGCGGAAAATATTAACTAAAAGTGGATTGTATATTTTCAGTATTTTATTTTACGTGCAATTCCTTCCATTTACGCTTTTCTGTGATTTGCACCATTTTTTTCTTGGTCCCTTGAAAAGTGTAAAAGAGGATTTTAACTGTATGTGGTTTTAAATATTCAACAAATAGATTCCTCAGTGCAACACAATCAACCCAGTAAAAAGTTTATGCACAAAGAGTACATCCTTTCTCAAACTTGCAGATTCCAATGGTGGAATATTCAATAATTTCACAATTACTACGTAGTTATGACTACTTCTGGGATTTTCAAGATTAGCCGTATTCGCTGCATATCAGAAAAGGGAGTGCTGTACTCCTTCAATCCTTTTAATTAGTTCTAGGAGACAATACTTAATAATAATACACGAGTTTAGATTTAACTAAAGAACTGTAGAATATTGAGAACACTTTTAATGAAGTAAATTTACCCGTTTGTCTTTTTACACAACCCAATAACTTTAAAGAACTATTTATCATATAATTTATTGATTAAAAACACATTTTACTATCAACACTGTCATTACTTATCATTGTCATTACATATCTTTGAGATATTTGTTAATATAGGTAGTTAAAGATGAGATGGAATCAACAAAAATATCTACACCTGATGACTTGCTAACTAAAAAATTATTAGTTGATTCCATAATTTTAAATAGCTTCACATTGTATAATAGATGGTTGTTAGTTATTTAATTACAGAACAGTCTGTGGGAACGACTTAATGTGTTCGATGATTTCAAGGAACAAAAAAAATATAGTTTAGGAAATAAGATCTAACATTCTCAACAACAAGGCAATTTTCCTGTTAATAAGGCAACTTGCAATTTTATTTTGACTTGATAGAAAGAATTAGTTAAAAATTAAAAAAAATTCTTAGGTGCCTTTTTTAAAATTAGGTCAGATCAAGGACAGAAGTTCTAGTCTTCAACAGAAAATAGTTTCTATTTCCGCCAGTGATGATGTTTTTGGAATGGGCTCGCTGCAAGCTTTTTGCCATTAACTGTTTATTGTAGTGGAAGATTGTTTCTGAGAGGGGGAAGCAAGGTCATCATTCATGAAAAGATGCGTGATTAATACCAATCATCACATTCAGGAATGTTAACAACAAAAGCAAAATAATTGATACTTAGAGGAAGGTGGTAAGCATACACGTAGGCTTCCGCGGCTCGAGTCCATGACTTCTAGGCTGTCTGGGTGACGCCGCGTTGTTGGCAGATAGGCCGACGTTTCGCCTGACATATCACAGGCTTCTTCAGGATAGTGACACCACTAAAACGAAGGTGGTAAGCATCAGGGGACACAGGAGGTTCATTTGGATGTTCAATAATATGATTTTTAGAATTTGAAAAGATTAGATCAAGCTTACTGGTTTTTTTGTTGACTATATGGTTTAATTGGTAAAGATTTAAGAAACATAGTGTGTCCGCTAAGGCTGTAGCACAATTCCTCTCACGTAATGACGCATAGTTTAGAAAATTCGGTAATCCATGTTACATTTGGTAAATTGTAGTCTCCGAGTAAGAGCGAGTTTGTACCCTGATTTGCCAATTCAAGTGTCTCCAAAGGTTGGAGTATGACGTAAAAACAATTTTAAACTTTTGTGGTGGAAAATATTCATAACTGATAATAAGATTTAATTTTGGATGTAAGATTCTAATAAATACATTTTTGATGTTCTCCTTGTATTCAAGCTCAAAACTGCGGTACTTATTGTTCACAGCTATATGTACTAGTAATATAATTATTTAACTTTCTATAGAATGGTCTTGCAAATATAAGTAATTCCTTTTAAAATTTCCAAAATATACGGGGCACTATTAAAGGACTTTAAAAGTAAGGTTCTCAAAATATTTAGATTTCTTGTTAAAGTTTATGTTGATTGGTTCTTTTCATAAAGAAAAATGTTTAAAATTTTCTGAACTTTTTTGTTGCATTTTTTGTTTTAGATGTATTTTTACCATGTCCAGACAACCTTTTGGTGAATTTGGCTGAAAGTCGGGAATTAGTTCGTGATCTTCTGCAACAATTACCACAAAAATTCCAGTCATCTTACGATAACCATTCTGCATTAGGTGCTGCCCTTCAAGCAGCTTATAAATTGATGGTATGTTGCTGATGGTTTCTTTTGAACTCTTGCTTTTTTTTGGTCTCAATATAATAGTGTAATATATTATATGAATTTTGAATGGCTGTTTATTTAAAACATATACAGCTCATTGAAAACTTTTGTTCTGATGCACATTGATTAGAGAGATATAGTTGTGTTGAAAGTGGTGATTCAAGCAATGTTTTTATGTTTTTAAGGCACCGACTGGGGGTCGCATTTCTGTATTTCAATCCTCTCTACCAACCACGGGTCCAGGCTCTTTGGTGGCACGTGAAGATCCAAATCAGCGTTCTGGAAAGGATGCTCCACACTTGAATCCTGCAACAGATTTCTACAAGTTGCTTGCCTTGGATTGCTCTGGACAGCAAGTTGCTGTTGATCTTTTCCTCTTGAATAGTCAATATTGTGATTTAGCTACAACTAGTAAGTTCCCTCATGAAAATACTTTTCATCCACATCATTAAAATTATCTAAGCAATAATCTTATTTCTAAAGCGTTCACTTTCTTAAAGAAATTTTGTATTTTCAACATATAAGTGATGTTCAATAATGTGCTTATAATTATTTTGTCAATTTTTAGGTGGTGTTTCTCGTTTCTCTGGTGGTTGTATATATCACTTCCCCTTGTTTAAAGCATCCAATGTTTTGCAAGCTGAAAGTTTTGAACGTGTTTTACGCCGTTACTTTTCCCGCAAGATTGGCTTTGAAGCTGTCATGAGAATTCGTTGCAGCAGGTAATATTTTCAGAATTTTGAAAATCTTATCTATGTTATTAATAAATAATTGATTTCGAACTGATTTGATTTTGTTTTAAATAATAGGGGTCTTGCCATTCACACATTCCATGGCAACTTTTTTGTTCGTTCTACTGATCTTCTCTCTCTTCCCAATGTAAATCCTGATGCTGGATTTGGTATGCAAGTTTCAATTGAAGAAAGCTTGTCAGAAGTACAGAATGTATGCTTTCAAGCAGCACTTTTGTATACTACAAGTAAAGGTAAGTTGAATATTGGTAGTTTCAATTAGACATACCTCTCCAAACAATTAATGCTTGGAAAAATGAATTGAAATGCTTTACATTTGTTGACTTTCAATTTTCAGGAGTTCTTTTTAACTTAAGTTTTGTAAAAAGTGTTTCGATTCTATTATAACTTCTGGTCTGAGCAGCAGTCAGGTTGCTTAAAAGTTGTGAGCATCCCATGTCCTAGTAGTTTTCAGACTGTGGGATTCATGTAGTTTACATTATGTAGGTTAATATAATATTTACGTTTTTATGTCTTGTATTTTCAGAGAGGGTTCTTGGTGTACTATATCACAATTCTAGAGCCAATTAATTTCACCAGATTTTTTCTTACTTTATTAGTTTATAATATGAATAAACTCCTTCATCAATGAAGACTTAATTTACTGCTACAAAAAGTTAAAATTGATGCTCTATAAAAAGGTGTTATATTCCCAACACTTTAATTTCAGTAAAAAATTCAGGTGAATAATGTTAAAGATTGAAGGGATCTGAACAGAACTGTGAATTATTACCAGGAATTTTTAATTTTTAAAAATATACCAAATTTGTGTTCCAAGGATTAAAATAAATTATATTAGTAATAATCTTAATGCCTAAATCTTGCGTTGCAGTAGAAAAGGAAAATTATCAAAACGAAGAAATAAATGAATGCCATTACCCACGATAAGGAAATATATTTTATTAAACATCTCAGATGAATGATATATTGAAGAACTAAGAGTTTAAAAGAAAAGTTTTTTTAATAAATTGAATAATGATATGAGCTAACAAGCTGATACACACATATGTTACAATTAACTCATCAAAATCAGTAGTCACATTATTTCATCATTTATCACATTATCACAATTAGAATTCTATTCAAGTCACCAGTAAGTTAAATCACAGTTGTTGCATCACTTGTTCTTTTATTTATTTGGCTCCAAAACATTAATGGTCCAAACAGTTCATGAAGGCATTCAAAGTCTTCAACAGCTCGCAGGGAGAGAATTCCATCCATTTATGGTTTGATTTACTACAAAAAGCTCTCGGTGACTCTCTCTGGTTACTTCCTTTCACAATGTCCTATAAGTTTCCAATCTGGAATTTTGTAAATAGTGACTCAAATTGGAGTACATTGTGGAGCCCTGCAGAAACGTGCGCGTCTCCACCAAATCTCCTCTTTCTCCTCTGCTTCAAAGTCAAAAGAGACGTCTCATGGAACCTTTCTTCACATGACAATTGATGGTTTTATGTCTAGATTTTTGTGTGACAAATTTTCATACTTTCTCTGAATTGAATTTATCTTTTCGATTGTAGTAATGTGGAAAAAGGTTTTCTAATTAAGTATGTCTTGGTGTTTGCTCATTTAGGATCTGAAACTTCCTGTTTCAAATCATTTACTCAGCTGGAAATGTGGAATTTTGCACTTCCTGTTATTGAGTGGAAGAAGCTATGTTTTAAAGCTCTTTTTTACCAGTTTAAGGTCATATTGTAGTGCTTGGTAATGTTTTAGTGGGTTAGCAAATAACATGATAATCTTCAGGATTCCATTTCCAGGCAGAAGGTAATCTACTTCTTTGGAGGATGAATAATAGTGGCCCTAAGACTAATTCTTGAGGAACTTCACCAGCATCCTGGCGTTGAAAGTTAGCTGCTAATGCTAACCGTGAAATTGAAATATCCTCAAATTCGAGCGTTAATGACTTTCTACTCAGGTTGGAAGAACTTTTAACTAAACTTATAGGAAACAACAAGTTAACAAGTTAATTATTTTGGGAGATCTGAACATTAATATTGAACATAATGAACTACGTGATTTACTAAAGAGGTTCAAATACTCTTCTCATAATATTGATTTTCATCCATCTGATCACACTGCACAAATCATTGAAATAATCAGTTGCCCCATTAGCCTTGAACTACCTAAATACACATTCATACACCTGTGACTCAAGTGATACTAAACTACATTTGTTAAATGGATGTCTACAAAAAGGGGAATGGACTGAAGTACACAATAGTCGTGATATCAATGAAAATGGAACTTATTTCTAAGTACATTAAATAGTCACTTGAATATTGTGTCTCATTATTAAGAGGCAAATTAATGTAGCAAAAAAACCCAAACTTAAGCTCCTGAATGAAATTTTTGTTCTTAGAAATAAAATAAAAAAACATGACCTGTTCAGAGATACTAAGAACCTGTTTTATAATGAAAAGTATAAACCGTATAAAAAACAATATAGGGTGAAACTGATGAATGAGAAAGCTTATCAATTAAATAATAAAGTTAACAACTCAACAAATAAATCTAAAACATCATGGAATATAATCAACAATGTGAAAACCGTCTCAAAAAAAACACCTACTACATATAGGCATGTTTCTTGATAATCCTTCTGATATTTGTAGGACCTTTAACTGTCATTTCTTAAATTCAAAGCAGGACATTGTAACCAATAATACTATTAATTCTCCATCTTCTGGAACTTCAAAATCCATGTTTCTCCATCACACAAATGCTACTGAAGTTAATCGACTGATACATTCTTTAAAAATAGTTGCTCAACTGGGAGTGATGAAATATCTTCAATAATTCTTAAAAAATGTAAGCCTGCTCTTCTTAATATATTAGTTGACTTAATAAATTCATCTCTAGCTGCATTCACTTTCCCAGAATCCCTAAAAATTACTATTGTAAGATCACTTGCTAAGGATAATAATAATACACGAGATGTTGGGAATTACCAACCTATAACTTTAACTTCAGTATTTGGAAAATTCTATGAAAAAGTTATATTGGCAAGGCATTGTTTTCATGAATCTAATAATATCCTTAATAAAGCACATGGCGTCAGGAAGGGCTTCTTTACCACCACCACCACTGCTGTTGTAGAGTTCATACATGAAATCATTGGAAATTTGGAATCAAATAGAAAATAGCAGGTTTATTCATGGATCTTTCAAAGGGATTTGATAGTGTATCTCATGAGAAACTGATGGTAAAACTTGATTATTATGGAAGAAGGGGTAGAGTCAGTGACCTCATTAGATCATACCTTGCAGGATGTAAGCAATGTACTGAGATCTTATGGCAATTTGAAAATTTCTTACCCAAAGTTAAATCAAATTTTGATACAATCACATTTGGTGTTCCTCAAGGATCGGTGCTGTTTCTATTATATGTTAATGATATTCCAAGCTCATCTGATTTCTCTGTAATTTCTTATGCTAATGATACAACAATAAGTAGTGGGCAAAATCTTTGTCATCTAGAAGCCAATCTGACTGAATCATTAAAGTCAATTAAAAGTTATCTGTCTATAAATGAATTGAAATCAAATTTTGATAAAACTGTATTAATCAACTTCAAGTTTCATGACGGTCACCAACACCAAAACATAAAAGTGGAAGTAGACAATGAATCAGTGAACCAAACTGATCATCATAAATTCTTAGGAATATTCATAGATCAAAACCTAACATATAATAAACAAGTTGATACACTTTGTAATAAAATAAACTCTAATATATTCCTTTTGAGGTACTTTCCCAGATACCTGGACATTGATGCACTAATTTCAGTATATTATGGGACAATCTTCTCTCAACTTCAATACGGCATTGAAATTTGGGGTGGCACAACAAAAAAATATGGATAGATTAATGGTCCTTCAAAGGAAATGTATAAGAAGCATTTTCAGACTGAATCCCAGACAGTCCTGTAAAGTTTACTTTATTAAATATTAATTACTCACTGTTGTGGCACTATACTCTTACAAAGTATTATTAGTATTGACAAATAATCAAAATCAATATTTTGTAAGAAATAAAGAGATACATAACTACCATACTAGAGGACATAGGGACAAATACAGGATATACACTAGCGAGTCTTCAACCAACGAAGATCCTTTCTGCATTGCTGCACAACTTTTTAATAAACTCTCAGATAAAATAAAAACTGCTGATGATAAATACTTCAAAACACTGCTTAACATCATCTTATTAGTGTGTGTCCATACAAGATATCTGAATTGCTTTAACTTTCTGTAATTAAAAACCATGTACCGCTACAAGAGTGACCACTCTTTGTGCCTGTCTTCACTCAGTCCAATAAGGCAATGTACTATTCTGTAATGTAGTAAATAATGTAATTTTATAGTTTAAGATACTGTAATTAATGTAATTATTATCATTAATCGTACACCTAATTTATTATTGTTATTGTAAGGTAATTATTCTGCTACTGTAAGATACGGGAATTACTTACTCTTAATTGTAAGCTATTTGCCACTATCATTATATTCTAGTTTATTGTTAATTTTATTTGTTATATGTCAATGAAGCATTGTGTAGTTTAAAATGTAATTGACCTTAATATTTATTATAAGCAATTGCATTATTATTCATGTAATTCATTGAGTAAACAATTTGCAATATTTCTGTAAGTTATGTAATCGAATGTAATTCGTTGTAACTTTAATTAATGTAATTGTCTATATTAATCAATAAGGTTTATTTTTATCATGTAATTTAGAAAGATAATGTAAACTTATTATATTATTACTGAAAGTTAATGAAATTAACTTACAGTAATTTTAATTAATTTTTAGACTGACTTTGCTTGATGCTTTATTATTATTATTATTATTATTATTATTATTATTATTATTATTATTATTATTATTATTATTATTATTATTAATTATTATCATTATTATTTATTATTAATTATTATCATTATTATTATTATTATTATTATTATTATTATTATTATTGATAGAGAAAACTGCCTCCTTAGGAATTGGTATGCCAAAATAGATACCTTTTGTCATTCTGCTAGCGAAGAGTTTACTGATGGCCAGTAATCAACCCAAGCAAAAACTTAAATTAACGACAAGTTTCTTGAAAACCTTCAAATAGAATTAGCAGACAATTTGGAAAGTTTTGCTTGAAAGATATTCTCATATCTATTCAAGTAATTTTCCTTGTATTCCAATGTAATTTAGTTGTTTATGTGCTGATAGTCACAAAACTTCTGAATGATCAATCTCTCCGTGACTTTTCTCTTTGTGCTAGTGAGACTTACAGGACTGTATTTTGTGGTCTTCTGTTCGTCACCTTTTTCTGAAAATTGTGGTTAGTTTTCTTTTTCCTTTCATACAGTTAGAAAGTCTTTTGCATCCAAGAACATTTTGAAGATACTGTTCAATAGTGAAGTGCCAAATATTTTGAGCTATCCTTAACCTTTTAGATACAGAGTGTTTTTCCTTCTGCAGTCTTGATTTGCCAGTCTTCTGCTGGTGGTACGGCCTTTTTTTAAATAGGTGAGCATGCTTGACCGCTGCAGATTTTTAATCCTTATAAGTGTTGAAAAGGGCCCGAGGGGGGCTAATCTTTTGTAGGAAGGCAATGGTGCCTGATGGGCAGTGGGCCACAGTGAGACGGTGTGTATATGAGATCTAAATAAGTGTGAGAGATTGACAAACGAGGATGGTTTATATGCTAATGCATGGAAATATTATGAAACTTCAAATAATATATAATACAGTGATAGAAATATTTAGATTTATTTTAATTAATTTATTAGGAATACACTATTTTTAATGTTTTTTTGCTCTACGTTTAATTTTACTGTCCTAAATATAGTACCATAATGAAGTGCTGCTGTTCAAACAAAAGAGGAAAATCTATTTTTGGCATCAGACATTTATTAGAAATGTTTCTAAATTAAATTAAACAATCATTATTGAATAAATTTGTGCAAGTAAACTGCAATGCAAACCCTAAAATTCCATTACAGATTGCTAATACATTTTCAGTTTCTTTCTGAACTAATTAGCATTGGAGATGAAATAATTCAAACATTTCTTCAGAAAAATGCCAATTTTTAGATAGTAGCCAATGCTTTTCACTTGTGTTTACATTGAGTGTTAAGAGTTAATACAAAACTTTTATTTACTCATAATTTATCTCCTTTCATCTGACATAACTAAGCTTCATTCTCTGCCATCTAGAGCAACATCTCGAATTTGGTATGAATAACAAAATTGGGAAAGAAAGAAATGTATAATGATATGTCTTTACTACTCCCTCTGTTAAGGAAATAAAACTCTTATCAATATTGTTGTTTTGCATTGTTAATTTTTTGTTCAGAACTCTTAAAAATACGGTGTTCATCAAAGGGCATTTGTGGCATTTTCTTAAGCATTATTTGAACTATTTAAGGAAAAAAATATAAAGAAAAAAATTGGAGCTGTGTTTGAGAATTTTTTTAAAGTGTCTTTTCCTTAAGCAAAATTATGCAAAACTGCTTATATTTTCAAAAAGAATATAATTTCTTATTGAAAGATCTGATTTTTTTGAGAACATTTTAGTAAGAAAAAATCTCGAACTTCAATATTGTAGTTTTATCAAAAGCCCCCTAAAAAAAGGACTAAGTAAGGCAACTGTAAATTGTGCGAAATTACTTTTCCTTTTGTAATAATAAACAAAATATTCATAATGCCCTTCAATTAATAACTAACTTCTAATTAGAAAATGTTGGATGTTCATAGCTTTGAACTTCAAAAGTCACTAATCCTACTATTGTCTCCTCCCCCCCTCCCTCCAACGCCCTCAAGAAAAGGAAGGCCTTTGCTCTCTTTCTGAATCCTTCGTTCTAATGTATGAATAAGAAAACTTTCTTTAAAACTGGTTTCAAAACCCAAAACTGTTACTGTACTGTATCTGGTGGTGTGTAGGCAGTACGCAACTCTCTTGCTAAAATGTAGACATCCCGCAACAAATTTATAATTTTTCAGAATTGAAGTTATTTTAAAATTGGAGGAAATAACGTTTACCCTAAGACACTTGAGAAAATAATTTTTACTTTTCTTGATCAACAGTCACGCATTTTGAGTGTTAGGTGTGGACAAACGAGATCTACAAGCAAACCTTCTATGGCTTATTTTACATACCACCTTTTGACAAAAACATCTGGAGTTTTAGTGAATGCGTACGTGCACAGTGTGATGTCTGGAACATTGGAAGTGACACTTCATGTGACTGTTTGCTAAAACCCCAAAATTGTTCATCTAAAGAAATGCACATGTGTTGTGACATTTCTAGTGTTCCAGAAGACATACTGCTCATTTGCTGAAACTCTGGTATCATTCATCAAAAGGAAGCAGAGTCTTTAAGTTTGAGTTTGGGATGGGGAATGGAGATCTCCTGAATGAAGAATTTACATACAAAAGTGATATGCAAACTGTAGTATAAAGGTGGTGCTTTTGTTTATGTGCGTTGTACATTCTACATTCTATTTGTACTTCTTATTTTATCCTGTGTATATTCTTCCCTGATTTTGTATTAACAAATGTGTTTCAAACATTTTGGACTTAGAATTGTTATTCTGCTTTTCTGTTACAGGGGAGAGAAGAATAAGGGTTCATACTCTTTGCCTCCCAGTTGCTACAACTCTGCCTGATATTCTTAATGCTGCTGATCAACAATGCATAGTAGGACTTCTGGCAAAAATGGGTTTGTATACTAACGTGTAGTCATTATAGTTGTCATCATCATCATCATCATCATCCATGGTTTAGTCTTTTTTATCTGTACTACTACATTACATGCAAATACCCGTCAAGGTGGGGTCGGTCCTACTCCTGACAGGGGGGATGCAGAGAAGGCTCTCAAGTGTTTCTTTCTCCATCTTTCATCCTCTTGCTTTTCATTTCATGTCACCTACGTTCTTTTATCACTCGCGCAAAAAACTCCTTTACCCTCTTCCAGAAGGAAGGCGTGATGTGAGAAAACTCTTGATTTAAAGGGTTTTTTTTTGTCAGAGAAGAGCATACGTGAAGAAATTACAGATTATTTTTATGCCCTGCACTAAAGAAGGGAATTCTTTCAATAGTATCAGTGCAATATGTCTTGGACAAACTATAAAGGATACATTTGGGAAGCTCCCAAGTGTTCGCATGGCAAAGGAATGGTATTGTTCTCTTTGAAGGGTGCACCGAAGAGCAGATTGATAGGATATTAAAAACCATGCACATTCCTGGACTCTGTGTGGAAGTGATCACTCACTCCACCTTTAACTGTTGTAAGGGTGTGGTCAATCATGACAATTTTGCATCTGAAAGTGAGGAGAAACTTCTTCCTTTTTTCAAGAGCCAAGACATTACTGAGGTGTTCTGGATCAAGAGGAAGGAGCATGGGAGAGAGATGACCACCACCACTTCTACATTCAATCTCCTGGCCTTTCCCAAAAGGATCATCTGGGGATTCTGCCGACTGCGTGCCACAGTGTGTATCTAACCTGTTGTGTTGCATTAAATGCCAAAAGTTCGGCTACACCCAACAATGGTGTATACCACTCCACTGTGTAAATTATGAAGAACACCATGCAGCCAACTCGAACCAATGCCTTGCCTTTCTGAAGGGGAGGGAGATCCAGAAAATCCAAGTAATGGAGAAAGTGTTCTTTCCGGAAGCAAAATGTCGGTACCTGCTGAAGAATCCTGTGGATCTGACTTGGTCCTTCTCTAGTGCCCTTACCAAGTCTATTACATCTAAGCAAGTTTCCAAAACTTCCCTGCTGCTCCCCCTGCGGTGCACTTCTCTTGTCAGATGTCTCCTATGGACTTCCCTGAATGAAGGTCAATATTTTTGGCCTTCCATCATGGATTTGCAGCTAAATGACTGCTCTTCCCTGCTCCGACTCCTGAGATTCGTTCTAAGTGATCACTTAGATTGTCAATCGGAGATCAAGAGGACTCGGCCTCAGAAGAACCTTCTGCCAAGGGCGGACACTCACCCCTTTGTGCAGCTGTGGGGAGAAAAGAAAAAGGAGAGGAAGAAAACCTAACTACAATCAGTATTGCTCTCGCATTTTGGAATTGAAATGGGTTTTGCTCCCGAGGAGACGAACTGAAACCCTTGTTGTCTTGTTGAACAACTTGCTTCTCTCAACAGATGTTCCTATTCAGAATGAGCTTCAATCATTCTGTGTGTGCAGATGTACCTCCCATCCCTCACGCTCAATGTCTGTAACATTTATATCCCTCCAGGGCAGAGTGTATTCGCTGATGAAGTTATGGTCTTGATAAACCAACTGCCCTCAGTGTTCTTGATAGTCCGGGATATAAATGCCCAGAGTCCTCTTTGAGGCTTGTCCTGCGTTTGTCTGCAATGAGGGGCAATGTATTTGAATCGGTTATAGACACCTCAAATTTGTTTTTTCTGAATTCAGGACATGGATAATGGAAGCTACGGATCATTATTCCACTATCATCTCCATTGATGGACTTGTTCGTGGGATGGCTCAAACCCCTCATTGGTGTGTTCAAAGTGCTGACTGGTTTAAATTTCCAGCACAGATCAATCTCTCAGTGGGCTACTTTGATGAAGTGGACAAAATAGCAACACATTTTTTCAATGCTGTACTACAAGCTGCGGATATTGCAACTCCCAAATCGACTGATAAACCACGACACCCCTTTGTCCCATGGTGAAATTTGAACTGCTCTAAACGGTCAGTGCTCGTACAAAAGCACTGGCAAGACTCGAGCATTATCCCATTGTGGATAACCTCATCAATTATAAAAGATTAAGGGCAAAGCCAAGGAGAACCGTTTCAGAGAGCAATAATGCTTTGTGGAGATCATACGTCTCGTCTCTTAATTACCACACAACACCACTTCTGGTGTGGAGAAGAATTCAGCAGATAAAAGGTCACTCACCACAAAACATGGTGCTAGGTCTCCTTAAGAATGGAGTGATGATCACTTCTCAAGATGTGATTGTAAAGGAACTCTTCGTTCACTATGAAAAAATGTGGAGTATGGGGAACTATGCTCCAGACTTTCATTTGGGTAAGGAGAGGTTGCTCTTTGGAATTTCCTTGCAGAGCATCTGACAATTAGAGCACTCTTTTCTCCATGTCAGAAATGCTCTCTGCTCTTGCCTTAGGGAAAAGATCTGTCCCAGGTCCTGATGGAATTCACAACCAAATGCTGCAGCATCTTCCTGACATGGCAGTGCATTGTCTCCTCTGTCTTTATACTTGCTCTGGGAGAAAGAAGCCATCATTGTCCCTGCTCTAAAGCAAGGAAAGGACCGATTGTTGCTATCAAGCTACTGTCCTATCTCTACCAGCTGTGTTTGCAAAGTGCTGTAACGCATGGTAAATTAGCGTTTGGTCTGGACTTTGGTGTGCAGAAATCTGCTCATGCCATTCTAGTGTGGGTTCAGGAAACACCGGTCAACTGTGGACCATCTAGTTACATTGACAAGAAATTTCTACATCGTTCATCCTGATACAACAACTTGTGACAGTACTATTTGATTCAGAAAAAGTCTAGACACCACTTGGAGGTATGGGATTTTGAGAAACTTAAATTCTTGGGGATTGAGGGGAAGCTCTCCCTATTCCTCCAAAAAATTTTATTGAATAGATCTTTCTTCATTCACATTTGTGACAAACTGTCTAGCAATCTCCCTTGTGGAAACTGCAAGAGTTGGTGCCAAGTGTCACTCTGTTTGCCATTGGCATAAACAGTATAGTATTGGTTGTGCAGAAGCCTGTAAAACCATGATTATTTGTGGATGATTTTGTCATTTTATGTTCATCCTGTAGCAACAGTGTCATTGAAAGGAAACTCCAACTAGTCCTAAACAAACTATGAATGGAGCTCTTCCACAGGCCTCAACTTCTCTACAATGAAAACTACTGGTGGACACTTCTGCAGGAAACACCACCTGCAAGGCAATCGAGGTCTCTATCTTGGAGGCCATCAGCCCCTATTCTCTGAACCTGCCAGTTTCCTTGGGCCAACATTTGATAAAACCTTAACATGGTGTGCCCATATCCACAGTCTGCAAAACAGATGTGTGTCCCCGGTAAATCTCTTACATATATGCTGACTGTTACCTTTGGGGAAGCTGACCTCATGTGTCTTATGTGGCTATATAGAGCTCTCATCCACTAAGTTCTTGATTATTGAAGTTTCGAATATGGATTAGTGACTTCTTCCACTCTTAATAGTATCCATCACTCCGGTGTCTGGATTGCCAGAGGCGTATACCAGACTATTAGGATTGATTGTCTCTTCTAGCTGATGCCAATGAGCCATACCTAAAACAAACGGAAATTCTATTGGTGTCTTATGCTTCAAAAATCTGGAGCATCTCAACCCATCCAGACTGATGAACTAAAACTCAGCCTAGATATTAAACTTCACATGTTCTCGAAACATCACACCTCCAGTCTCCTGGTATTTGTTTCTTAAATCTATTGCAAGATCTTGATATCAGCTTTCCTACTCGCACAAAAGCCCCAAGAAACATAACCCCCTTTAAAAACTCCTTCGACCGAACATTGACTTCACTCTTCAACCTTCCCAAACAGAGTACGTGTCCCCTTGAATATCAGATCCACTTTTGCGATATGAGGGCAGCATATCCTTACCATATATTCAAATACACTGATGGCCCATCTTCCAATGATGCTGAGGCTTGCAGGTTTCATTGCATTCGGGTCACTAAGTCATTCTGAAAACATTCTCTGTGCTGTTTATTCACTGCTGAGAGATATGCAATTTGTGAAGCCCTTAAAAGTATTGAATCAGCCTCTTTGGTTTAATTCTCTGCTCCAATTCTCTTAGCTCCCTCCAGCCATCTCTTACCCCCTTCAGATCACAGAACAAAATACAACAGATCCATTGTCCATTGTTCTGGAACTATGATCTAGTTCTTTGTTGAATCCATGTGGGAATTTCTGGCAATGAGTTAGCTGACCAGGGAAATTAGAGACTGGGAAGTCTGACATTGGCATCCCTATTGTTCCATGATCAGTTTTAAAGGCATATCTAAAATGGTCCATTTTCAGTGCTTGGCAGCCATAGGGGCACAATCCATTTACAAAATAAGAGGATTAAGAATTGTATAAAGCCCTGGACTTCTTCATCCTGTGCTGCTGGGCGAGGGGAAGTAATTTATAACGCGTCTCCACATTGGCCGTTGCCTCTTGTCGCAAGGTTTTTTTCTGCAAAGTAAACCTCCCCAATCTGAGTCACGTGTTGGATGGAGCTATCCATGAAACTTGTTATTCTACATTGCATAAAATTTAATGACAGCAAGTGCAGACCTGTCTGAGCAACTCAAAGAGCACCCAGCAATGTAGAGTCTGCGCAATGAAATCTTTTTTTCCTTTTTTAAGGAAATTGGTCTTTACCATTTGGTTTGAGAGAAGAGGACATTGTTTTTCTGTATTTTATTTGGCCACTATACAGCCAGTTTTAAGTTTTGTATTATTTATTCTTTACGATCCCAGCACTTTATATGAATAGAATTTTTAATGTGGCATGTAGCACTTTATTTTAAACTATTTATACCAATGTATTCAAAGTAATAGTTGCATCCACAATGGGTTCTGCTTCAGTTTCTTTTTTACTTATATTTCGGTTTTATATTATGATATGAGTGCAAATGACCACAGCTGTTGTAGTGCCCTTTAAACATCTATCAATGAAATA